TGTTGCAAAGGGTAGTAGCTCCCTTCTTTCTCTCTGCTGCATAGAATTCCATCGTGTATATGTACCACAATTTTTTGATCCATTCATTTACTGACGGGCACCTAGGTTGCTTCCAACTCTTGGCTATTGTAAATTGTGCTGCTATGAACATTGTGGTGCATAGGTTATTTGATATTGATGTTTTAGGATTCTTGGGATATAATTCTAGCAGCGGAATTGCTGGGTCAAAAGGCAGGTCGATTTTTATTTTTCTGAGAAAATTCCATACTGTTTTCCATAATGGTTGTACCAGTCTGCAATCCCACCAACAGTGAACTACGGACCCCTTTTCCCCACAACCTCTCCAACATTTGTTGTTTGTTGCTTTGTTTATGATAGCCATCCTGACTGGTGTAAAGTGGTATCTCATTGTGGTTTTAATTTGCATCTCTCTGATAGCTAACGATATTGAGCACCTCTTCATGTGTCTCTGGATATTCTGTATGTCCTCTTTGGAGAAGTGTCTGTTCAAGTCCTTTTCCCATTTTTTAATTGGGTTCGATGTCTTCCTAGAGTGGAGTCGTGTAAGTTCTTTGTATATTTTGGAGATTAAACCTTTGTCTGAGGTATCATTGGCAAATATGTTTTCCCATACAGTTGGTTGTCTTTTTAATTTAATACTGTTTTCTTTGGCCATGCAGAAGCTTTTTATTTTGATGAGATCCCATTTGTTTATTCTTTCCTGTATATTCCTTGCTCTAGGGGACATGGACACATGTTTATTCTTTAACTCCTTGATTGTTGGACTTCCATGAAGTTCGATTTTCTTGCAGTTTTGGTTGTTTTTTGTTTTTAAATTGGTTGTCCTTCTTTTGGTTTTGCGAGGAAGCAAAGTGTATCTACCTATGCCTTCAACTTTTCCAGAAGTCTCAATTTTTTAAAAAAATTTTATGTTATGTTATGTTGTGTTATTTTCTTGTTTAGAGAGAGGGGAAGGGAGAGAGAAAGATAGGGAGAGAAACATGATTTGTTGCCTCTTCCACACACCCCCAGCTGATGCCCTAGCCTGCAACCCAGGCGTGTGCCCTGACTGGGAATCTGACTGGTTACCTTTCAGTTCACAGGCCAATAATCAATCTACTGAGCCACCGCAGCCAGGGCCCAGTACCATGTTGCCTTGATTACTCTTGCTTTGTAATATATTTACACATCAGGAACTATTATTCTTCTAGCTTTGGGTTTTTTCAGCATCGTTTTGGCTGTTCTGGGATTTTTTTCATTTCCATATGCATTTTAGGATGAGCTTGTCGATTTCTTTTCTTTTTTTTTTTAAATTTTATTTAGTTATTTTTCAAGTACAATTTTTTGTCTATTTCTCCCATCCCAGCACCCCCTGCCCCATCTCCCCACCTCCCATCCATTTCCTCCCCCCTAGTCCTCATCCCTGTGTCTTTCACACTTGATCCTCAAAATCCCTCCCCTTTTTCCCCTTTAAATTCATTTCCCTCTCCCCTCTGGTCACTGCCCACTTGTTCTCTATTTCAGAGTCTTTGTTTTTATTTTGTTTGCTTGTTTGTTTTGTTGTTTAGCTTCCTGTTAAAGGTGAGATCATATGGTATTTGTCTTTCAATGCCTGGCCTATTTCACTCAGCATAATGCTTTCCAGTTCCATCCATGTTGTTGCAAAGGGTAGTAGATTTCTTAAAAAAATAAGAAGGTGGGTTTTTGCTAGAGGTTGTTGAATCTGTAGATTAGTTAGGGAGTATTATCAGCAAAGCCGAAATAGAGTAAGCAGGGAAAGAGTGGTAGGAAGTCAAGTTGGAGAGGGAGAAGGCCATGTTACCTATATCTTTTAGGTAATGTTAAAAATTTTGGTCTTGTAATGGGAATGAGAGAGAAAGACACAGGAGGGCTTTTAGCAAAACACTGACCTGATTCATTTTGTATATTAAATGATCTGGCTGACTTCTTAATATATCTCAGGCTCGTTAACATTTCTGCCCCTGGAACTTTGATATTTTCTTCTGTCTAGGGGAATACTCTTCCCCTAGATAACTGCTTGATTCGTTTTGGGGGGAATTTTTGTTTTTTTGGTTTTTTTTTTAGTCTCCTTCACTTCTCTGTTTAAATGGAACCTACTGATGACTAAATGCCCTATTAAAAAGCCTAACATTCTGACATTTTTAAAAAGATTTTGTTTATTTATCTTTAGAGGGGAAGGGAAGGAGAGAGGGAGAGAAATACCAATGTATGGTTGCTTCTCGTGCCTCCCCTGCTGGGAACTGGCCTGCAACCCAGGCATGTGCCCTGACTGGGAATCAAACCTCGATCCTTTGTTTCATAGTCCCACGCTCAGTCCACTGAGCTACACCAGCCAGGGCTGTTGTGACATTTTTTTTCCTTCTTCACTGTTTAAAATTTCTCCTTAGTGCCTGTTACCTAGCGTATAGTGTATTCTCTTACTTGTTTATTATTTATCTCTTTCCACATGAATTTAAACCTCATGAGAGTAGAGCGTTTACTTTGTTAATTGGTATATGCCCAGTGCTAGAAAAACAATTGGTTCTTGTTGATGCTCAGTAAATGCTTTTGAATGAGTGAATGAGCATATTCTACTGCATTTTCTTCAGTTTCACAATTTTAGTTCCCAGGAGTTTTTTATTACTAATTTTATCTTCTCAATGCTTACTTTTTATAGCATCTTGTTCTTATTTTATATATAAAATATTTCCTTCTCAAGATATAAATGATAGGTTTTTTAAAGTTTTCTTTTTCCGGTCTAGTCTTTTTTTTTTTTTTTTACTTCAAGTTATTTGTGTCATGATTCTCTTAGTTTATATATTTAATGCCACAGACTTCCATCTGATGTCTAGTGAACCATGGTCAACTGTTCATATTTAGAATTCAGACACGAAAAAACTAATTGGAATCTGATTAATTGGGTGTGTTGTCAGTTTCTGGACCATATTAGTATCTTGGGGTGTTTCCTTTTGGGCGAATCAGATTTCACAGGAAAATTTATTCTAATTTTCTGCTTGTAGAATATGTAGTTGACTTTTGAACAACACAGCAGTTAGGGGTGCTGACCTCCTGCCTAGTCAAAACTCTGCATGTAATTTTTAACTTTTTAAAAACGTAACTACTGTTGACTAGAATCTTTACTGTTACAGATGGGGGAAGAGAGACCCCAGTCAAGAGTCTCTCTACCCTGCCTTGGTTCTTGTTTCACCTGCAAGAGAATAATTCAAGTGAGAGACAAGTATGTTTAGTGGAAATGAGATAGGAAGTTTAATTATACTCTTGAGCAAAAAGCTACAAGTGGGCACTTGACTAATCCAAGTGCCCCAGCTCTTTGGTTTCAGGGGGTATATTATATACCTCAGTTGGTTTTTAGATTCCCTCTCCTTCTCCCACCTTGACAATAATGTGTAGCTATAAAGGCTTCCTTGTTCAGTTAGCAAAGACTCTTTCTCTTAGTGAAGTTGTTACAGTAGCTCCCTTTCCCAGTCATAGAAACTCAAGGACTTACTCCCCTTCCTGTACGATTCCTGCTTGTGGCTTGTGACATTCAGGATACCCGACAATCTTACCAAACCAAGCACAGGACTACTGAGTTAATTGGTGAGACGCAACTTTCTTTTGCTTCCGGCCTCCTGTATTAAGTAAACTCTTGTTTAGATTATAATGGTGAGGTCCCTGACTTTATTTCCCCTCTGGCTGCTCATTCCTAGCTGCTGCCTAACATTATCACTAACATAAACAGTCTATTAACACATTTTATATGTTACATATATTATTACTGTATTCTTACAATAAATTAAGCTAGAGAAAAGCAAATGTTATTAAGAAAATCATAAGGAAGAAAAAATACATTTGCAGTATTTATTGAAAAAAAATGTTTATAAGTGGAACTGTGCAGTTCAAATTCGTGTGGTTGAAGGGTTAATTGAATCCCAGCTACCAGCATTCTGGAGCCAGCTGGGTAAGAGAACTGAGAATCTCTATTTTCAGTGCTTCCTTTGACTTCTGTATACCATACCCATCCTCAGTTGTGCATGGTGCTGCCCAGTCCACAGATTTTCTTTTGTCCTCTTGCTTTGGTAAAGGAGGGGTGGTTATTAGGCTGCATGGAGTTCTAAGTGCTTTTTAAACCAACTTTCAACTAGTGCTCCTGTTTTTAACCAATGTTTCCCATCACTTCCAGAGGTACCGGTACTAGGTGCCTCTTGTTCTGGAGCCTTTGGGGAGTACTGCAGAGTAAAGAGGGATACTTCTTAACTTTCCCCACAGCCAATTTAAGGTTTACTACCAAGTTCTACAATTTCTATATCTGCTTTCCATATTTCACAAATGTGTTACTGTTGTGTATTAGAATAGTCTCTTAAGTGTTTATTCATTTAAAATGTTTCTATGGGTTTTTGGAGGAATCCAAATATTGTTGTAATCTTTATCTAGAAAGTCCCCTATTACCTGTTTACATTATAATCACTGATAATTTTATCTGTTTTGTTAATTTTTTTATGTTCAGTGCCTAGAATAGTGCTCAGGCCATAGAAGGAGCTTAGTAACTTTGGTGGGCATGTACGTAAATATTCCACAGAATGGGGTGGCCTAATAGGATTCGAAATGCCTTCAGTAGTATTTGGAAGTTCTAAAATCTAACAAAGACAAAAGCCTTTACATTACAGTAAAATGCACAGTATTACAGTAAAATGCATTGTATTATTTACTGATTGTTAAATGGTTAACAGTATATTTAAAGACATTAGCAGTATGATATGTTAATCTGCATGCATACTTGTATGTAAATGTGGCAGAATCCATAGACATGTTTTGTTTTGAATGAGTAAAAGGTTTATCTAAATTGATGGATAATCTTTCTGATGAAACCTGCTGCTGGTTCAGCATTTTTTCTAAATTTTTAGTGTTTAAAGTTTTATTTTACTTTCTAAGGCAGTTTAGAGAATGTTGGAGATGTCTCAATTAACTAAAGCAAATTGTACTATACTTAATTTTTACAGTGATATATTTGATAATGCCTGGAATGGCAGAACTGGGATTCGCCAGACCAGACTATCAAGTGGCACCTCCTTGCTTGACAAAGATGGGATATTCGCTAATTCAGCTAGCAGCAAACTCTTGGAAAGAGCCCATGGAATTCTCACGTAAGTATTAATCAGTGATGTGGATTGTTTTTTATGACAGGTTTAAAGTCTTGGGTGAAAAAAGAGGGAGCGATGGTGGCATTATTTCATTAGTAAAATTTTGAGTGAAACAAGATTCAAAAATATTCAGCATTTAGAGATCTGAATCTTAGGCAGTATTAAGCTGGTGGATGTTTGTTTTCATCTCACCAAGAGAATCATGATTGAATATACTCATTATAGAAATGATTCTTTATTGCTCTTTAATGGACCCTACATCAAGAGAAAGGAAAAAGTATTAGCTCTTTAGAATTCCCAGTTGTTAACTGCAGTTGTCTCTCAATTCTGGCAGTCCTAACAAACTGGGCAGGAAAATTTCGTGTGAACTGGTGAATGGCACCATATATAGTGATATTTAACACTTACACAAGCCTGCTGTTTCTCATTGCATGGCGGACCAGTAAACAGTTCTAGTTACCTATATCAACATATTTCAAATAATTCCAAAACATATTTTTGGACCACTAGCTAGAGATGTGGCTGAATTGGATTCCTTAGTGCCTAAGTTACTGCTTCACAGTGTCCTAGACTCAGTTTATGTAAATCTTTCTGTACTTCGGAATTGTAAATTAACTAATTTAATTCTCACAACAACTCTAAGAGAGAGGCTGGTGGTGTTATCATCTTCATTTTACATTATCAGGTAAGGAAACCAAGGCCTAGAGATGTTGAAATCATACCTTAGTAGGTGAGAGAGCTTAGAGTCAAGCCCAGGTGTTTTGAGTTCCCAACCCATGTTCACAGTATCAGCTTTTATTCCCTTTCTGTTGCCATAATTTAAAAAAGACCTCAGTGTAAGTATGATTTTGAGTTATGAATAAGAAAAAATAGAACAAGAGAATTTTTAATTTCAAAAAATAGAAAATCATAAGTTTTGGTGAAAAGTACATTTTAAAATTCATGAAATTAAGCATTTATTTAAAGTCTTGAAGTGACAGAAACAAAACTACTGTAGTCATAAGAAATTAGAGCCCTATTAATATCCAAAAGAAAATGAAACCTTAGTTTTGAATGTGCAACATTATGTTATTGATCATTAGGCATAAGCCTTTTTATACCTATATTTCAGAGCAAGCATCTCTTTTTTTTGTTCTCTTTTCCTTGCTTACCTTTCTTCCTAATGGTGTCTGCGTAGTTGAATCAGACAATGTTTTCATATACATGATCTGTATCTTACAAATGGATATATAATCTCTTGTTTCGATAGAGACCTTGAAATCATCCGTCTCTACAGTAGTGTTTTGCTAATGTATAATTTGTCTCTTTAGGAGAAACAAAAACTTCAAATTGAAGCCTGGCCTTCCAAAGGTAGGTATTATGGAAAATCTTTTTTCCATTGGTGTTCTACTTCATAATTATTTTTTTATGACTCATGCAAAAATGTTTAGAAATGAAAGACAGGAAATACCTTATTTGTAACCAAAATGGGGATTGTGTGCATTCACTTAATTCCATTTTAGAAGTAAGACTGGATGTTATAAAATGGCCAAAGTTAATGGTTCAGGTAGATTCTTATTTGTGAGATAACCTACTTCCTAGTGTTTGAAAAGCTTCTGAATAAAATACATTTTTTTAGTAATCGCCTCTTTACATGAAATGTTTTTATTTCTCCTTGAGCCAGAATAAGATCAAGTTCTAAATTTTACTTGATTTTTAAATAATTTCTAATTAGTGCTTTTCTAGTTCTTATCATTAGCAGTGGTTAGTCAGGTTTTTCTGTTAAGGTTCATTTAAGCTTACAGGCCTGTGGTCTTTGTTGGAACTACTTCCTTAGTTCTGCTATTGTAGCACAAATGCAGCTGTATAAAATATATAATCGAATGAATGTGATGGTATTCAAATAAAAATTTATGGACACTGAAGTTCGAATTTCATATAATTTTTTACATGCCACTAAATATTGTTTTAATTTTTTCAACTGTCTAAACCCTATGAAAAATAGTGGCCAGGATTTGGCCCTCAAGCTATAATTTGCCTACTCTGATCTACATTGTTAAGGCAGAGATGGCATTCCCAAAGTATGTACTGAATTTACTAAAGAAAGAAAAGTCCTCTTGTACCCTCCCAAAGAAGAAATTTTGCCTCTTATAACCTTGTTAATGAATGTAATTTAAAAATTTTTAAAGAACTGGAAAAAGAGCTATTTATTCTTATGATTCCCTAGTTTAAGAAAAACAAAATGAATCTGCCTTTATTATTCCTTCTACCTAAGTTACCTTAGGTTTCCAAGAAAACTGAATGCACTGCTGGTGTGGTTTCAGGGTGTGGTAAATATAGTTTTAAACTACAAAACAGAGAAAATTTATGTAACTGGTTTATGATACTCTTATCACAAAATCTTATCCTGATAACTTTAGGACCCATCTGACACCATACCTAGTTATTACAATATTACTGACTATATTTCCTATGCTGCACCTTTACGTCCCTGTGACTGCTTTTATAACTGGCAATTTGTATATCTTAATCCCTTCTTTTTCATCCATTCTCCCATCCACCTTTTGTCAGCCATCAAAATGTTCTCTGTATATAGAGTTTGTTTCTGTTTTGTTTATTCACTATTTTAGTTTTTATGATTTTACATATGAGTGAAATCCTATAGTATTCATCTTTCTTTGTCTAGACTTATTTCACTTAGCATAATACCCTCCAGATCCATCCAAATTTTTGCATATGGCAAAATTTCATTCTTCTTTATGGCTGAGTAATGTTCTGTCGTATTTATGTATCATGTCTTCTTTATCCATTTATCTATTGATGAGCACTTGGGTTGCTTCTATATGTTGGCTTTTGTTAAAAATCTTTAATCTTTGTTTCTCTAACACCTTGCACAGCAAGCAGTATATAGTAGTTTGTTAAAAATGAGCTGATTAATTTAGTGGAATAAACTAAACAATGAAAATGAAATTAAGAAAGGAATAAAGTAGGTAATGAACAGAAGACCTAAGAAAGCAATGAACTCTGTTTTCCTTTTCTGCTAGACCTCTGTTCCGCAGTCCAGTTCATGGTTCTTTCACATCATGCCGGGCTGTTGTAGCTGCCATGCAACTGGATTCATCTTTCTCTTGCCCTCTTAGCCTTCTGCCCTCACCTTGTTCCATTTTGCCGTGTCTCTCTCTTTTCCCTTGCCCTATTTTGTCTTCTTCATAAGTCTTAATAACCTTCAAGTTATTTATTTTTTAATGTTTTGTAGCCTGTTTCTCTGTACTTGAATGCACTGTGTTCCTAGTCCATAATTAGAACAGTGCCTGATCTGTAGTAATTACTCTACAGAGTATTTGTGATGGGTCTGATCATGGTGGTTTTATGGGCAGAAATTTGGTTTCCAGCTGCTGAGGAAACATTATTCAGAATAATTAGTTGCTAACTATTCATTCATTCAACAAAACTAGTATTTATTGAAGACCTACTCTGTACCAAACACTGTTTTAGGCATTAGGGGTAAAGGGATGAACAGTCTGATCAGAGTCCTTGCTTTCCTTTAGTGTTATCTTCTAGAGAAAAAAAAATCCAAGTAAACAAATAAGTGAAAAGATAATTAGACGATATTATGTGCAAAGGGGAAAATGAAATGACCTGTTGACGTAGAGGTAGGCTACAACCCAAGCCAGTGTGGCTCAGTTGGGTGGGTGTCATCCTGCAAACCAAAAGGTGTATGGGTTGTTTGCTGGTCAGGGCACATACCTGGGTTACAGATTCAGTCCCCAGTTGGGGCATATACGGAAGGCAGCCAGTTGATGTTTTTCTCTCATAACAGTGTTTCTCTCATCTCTTTCTCCTTATCTTCCCCCCTCTCTAAAATCAAAAACTTAAAAAAGAAATTAAAGGTGGGCTACTTTGGGTAGTTCTTTTACAAGAACTTCATGAGAAAGTTTTGGACATTTAAGCTATAAGTTGAATGCTAAGAAAAATCAAGCCATATAAAAAGATCTAGCTATAGAGTATTTTAAGCAAATGAAAAATTTAGAGTTTTATGTAATAATACAAGTGGTGTTTTTAAAAATACTTTTCCACTTAAACTTCTTGAAGGAAAGGACTTTTTAAAAAATAGTTATTTGTATTTTCCACGGTCAATGTGATGCTTTTCACATAGTGACAAATGTTTATTAATTAATTTTACTATCACTTTAGATATGGTTTACAAAATGAAACCATTATTTCCAAGGACTTTTTCTTAGAAGTATCTTAAATGTTTGGGGTAATTATGTTAGGTTTCAGTGCTAATTTGTTTTTACTGATGGGTAAACTGTAGAATTATTTCAATTAGTCTTACTATGTAAAATTATTTTTTCTTAATATACAATGAATTTTTTGTAAGAGTTTAAAAATACCAATAAAAATCCCTCTAAAATTCAATATGCACACACCATTTTACATATATGTTATTATTTTACATTTTTTTTGTCAGTAATATTTGTAAATGTCCATGTCAGGAAGTACAGATTTATGGTGGTTTTTTAAAAATTTAATTTATTGGGATAACTTTGGTTAATAAAATTATATATGTCTCCAGTTTATAATTCTATAATACATCAATTACATATTGCCCCCAAGTCAAGTCTCCTTCCATTACCATTTATCCCTTCATACTCTCTTCTACTTCCCCCTACTTTCTTCTCTCTGGTTACAGTTGTTTTATGAGCAACATGGTACTGAGTGGTGTGGATGAAGCATCCTTTATGGAAAGAAGTCCATGTAAATGCATCTCTCTGTTCACAGTTTGTTTGTTTTTCAGTTTTTTAAGTACTTTGTCACAATGAGCATGCAGATCTTATTTGGCAATTTCCTTAAATAAGTATCTAAAAGTAACAGTGCTAAAAAATGAAATTAAAAAAATAAAAATAAAAATGACACTCATTATTAGTAAGGTTATACTGATTTGCATTCTGAAGAACAGTACATACAAATGCCTGTTTGCCCAAATCCTCATGCATGTTGGATTTTGTCTGTCTTTGTTGTATTCGTCAATCTGATGTGCAGGAAATCTCTTTAAAAGAAAATGTTTCTTTGCTTCCAAGTGAGATTGATTGATTGTCATTATGTTGTCATTTATGCTTTATTTACAAATTGCATATTCAGGCCTCATTTTTTTTTTATCAAGGGATGTATTTTGTAAAAGCATTTCTTACTGTTCTTATATACGGGTAATGAGTCATTATCATTGTTGGAGATGTTTTTTCTTAGTTTCATTTATTTAAATATTATATTTATTGCTACTTTAAAGTTTTTATTTTTTAATGTTTATATTGTCAAAATTAATACTTTTAGACTTTACTTTGCCTTTAACTCAATCTTGTGCTTCTCGTATAGTAAAACTTTTACTACTTTTTCAATAACTATGTAAGTTGTACATCTCTATAGATATATATATTTTTATTGAATACTCACTGCCAGTGATTGGCTAAAAACACTCCCACAAGAATTTCCATTAAAGACAGTGTCACAGGTAAACAGGGCTTGCATCCTTGCACAACCACATCAAAATTACAACTAAACCGTAGAACAGCCATCATTCAGAACTGTCAGAAAGTCACCTGCATGGAAGTCCTACAACTGTGGAATTAAAGAAGAAATCACATTGAGACTGGCAGGAGGGGTGCAGATGAAGAATGGGCTGGTCCCACACTCATGTGTGGTGAATAAAAATCAGTAGGGATATCTCAGAAGCAAGGGGTCCAAGCCCCACAACACGCCACCCAGCCCAGGGTTCTAGTGAAGGGAGATAAGTTTCCACAACTTCTTTCTATAAAAACCAGTTAAAATTGTGGAAGACAGAAACTGCTGGACCCCCTGGCAGTTTCTCTTACAGGGCATGCTCACAGACATACTCAGTTTCACTTCTTCTGAGCTCCAGTGCTAGAGCAACAGATTGAAAGGCATCAGAGACATATGGCGAGAAACTGAACATTGTCTTCCATCCTGATGAGAGCTGGAGGGACAGCTTTCTCTCAGATGGAAGTGCTGGCAGAAGCTGTTGTGCTTTTTCTGGGTCCTCCCCCACCAGAGCCACAGACCTGGCACCCTATCTGAGGGCACCATATCTGAGACCCTATCAGCCTGGCTCACACTCTTTGCCCCACTCAGCATTCAGGCCCACCCAAGCTGTTTCCAGTGGCTTTTCCATATGAATGGCTTGTCTCGGCCCATGATTCAGATTTTTAAAAATTCTCTTAACAAGCAGCATCTAGCATCACCATGCCCTGTACCTCCCTTTAAGATGCCCCAGGCTTGGCACTTGCAGCCTCCAGCCTTGGTTCACAGCTTGGCCTCTCCTGGGTACCTCTAAGCCCAGTACAAGTAGCAGCCATCTGCAGATTGCCTTGTAGCTAATTCTGCGTAATCCTGGACAGAGCACAGATGGTGGCTGACTTTGTATTTACCACCAGCAATCAAGGGCCAACTGCAAGAGGAGGGTGTACACAGCCCTCACAGTGGGTGCCACTTGAGGATCCGTCTTGGGTAAGAGGGGAGGCTGTGACCTGGACCCAACAGAACACCTCTTATATTAAGCAACTCTTTCAAGCCTGGGAGACATAACCATGCTACCTAATACATAAAACACACACAGGGAAGCTGCCAAAATGAGGGGACAAACATGGCCTGCCCAAATGAAAGAACAGAAAAAAACCCAGAGAAGAACTAAACAAAATGGAGACAAGCAATCTGTCAGATGCGGAGTTGAAAACACTGGTTATAAGGATGCTTACGGAACTTAGTGAAGACCTCAGCAGCATAAAAAAGATCCAGTTAGGAACAAAGGATACACTAATTAAAATAAAAATTTACAAGGAAGCCACAGTAGAGTGAACGAAGCCCAGAATCAAATCAGCAATTTTGAACATAAGGGGACCAAATCAGCAATTTTGAACATAAGGGGACCAAAAACAACCAATCAGAACAACAAGAAGAAAAAAGAATTTTAAAAAATGAGGAGAGTAAAGGGAGAATGTTGGATGACTTCACGTGTTTCAACATTCATGTCATAGGGGTGCCAGAGGAGAAGAGAAAGAGCAAAAATTGGAATCATATTTGAAAAAATGATGATAGAAAACTTCCCTAACCTGGTGAAGGAAATAGACATGTAAGTCCAAGGAGCACAGAGAGTCCCAAACAAGATGGATCTCAAGAGGCCTACACCAAGACATCATAATTAAAAATGCCAAAGGTTAAAGACAAAGTAAGGATCTTAAAAGCAGCAGGAGAAAAACAGTTATTTGCAAGGGAGTTCCCATAAGGCTGTCAGCTGATTTCTCAAAATCAGCTAACTTTGCAAGTTAGAAGGGATTGGCAAGAAGTATTGAAAATGATGAAAAGCAGGGACCTACAACCAGGATTAACCTACTCAGCAAAGCTGTCATGTAGAATCTAAGGGAAGATAAAGAGCTTCCCAGACCAGAGAAAGCTAAAGGAGTTCATCATCAATAAACCATTATTATATGAAATATTAAAGGGTCTTCTTTAAGGAGAAGTTCAAATTATAAACAATAAAATGGCAAAAAATACATATCTGTCAGCAGTTGAATCTTTAATAAAATAAGCAGAACAGGAACAGAATCATAGATTATTTTGATGGTTGTCAGATGGGAGGGGGTCGGGGTGATGGGCAAAAATGGTGAAGGGATTAGAGTACAAATTGGTAGTTAGAGAATAGTAATGGGGTTGTAAAGTACAGCATAGGGAATAGAGTAGCCAAAGTACATTATATGTAGGCCCCATGGGTGTGAGGATTGTCTGAGGGAGTGGGGGTGTTGGGTGGAGGTGGACAAAGGGGGAACATTTGAGAAAATTATAATAGCATAAACAATAAACTAGAATTTTTAAAAAGCTGCCACACACTTCATTAATATTTTATATTCTTTTGTTGCTTTATGTATAACTTTTATTATTAAGATTATTAGCACATCAGGATGAGGGTTGATAGGGACTGTATTTTCTTTTTTCTGTGTTTATGGCATATCTGATACAGCTCTGGGGTTGAATTTAATTTGTCTCCATGAGTTAAGATTTAGTTACAGATAACAGTAGTTACTGTAGATATTTTTATGTAGAAAGGGGATTAATTCAGAGAGGTGCTTACAAAATTGTTAGAAGTGTTAGAGTTTCAAAGCATTAAAATAACAATGCAGAACTGACCAGAGCTGTAATCAGCAAGTTGTAGCTGCTGATTCCAGGTTAATTCAGGATTCAGAATGAAGCTGCTGCAACTGTTGGCCCCAGAGCTAAAGTGCCTTTTAGTAGAGTAGCAGTGACAGCACAAATGCCCTGCACTCTTTCTCTGAGCACTCGAAAAGGTACTATTTGGATAGAAAACTAGCCCATAAGTGAAGTACTTTTGCTTACTTGCTTGCCAGCAGAAACAAAAGCTACTAGCCAAAGCCTCTGCCTCATTATACCTTCCTCGTTTTGTGTGTGGGAATTTAATTGATAAACTTAAATCACTTCCAGAGCCTGAGGTTCATGAGAGTTTGGGGGAAAGTAGTTTTCTTTTTAGCTGGAGAGCTTCTGCAGGAAAGCAGAAGGAGGGTAGAATGGATGTTGAATATCAATCTCCCACATTTGCCACAGTCATTACACATAGGAAATAATGAAACTTGGCTTGCAGTTTTGTTTTTCCTAGTCCTAGTTTAATTTATGTGAAGAATTTGGTTTTCCCCCTCTTTTTTTCCAGCACTTGCTAGAGGTAAATTCTTTAAAGCACCTGACAAGACTGACCCTGCAGGATCGAATTACCAAGTCACTTCTTCATTTGCACAAGAAGAAGAAACCTCCCAGCATCAGTGCTCAGTTTCAGGTTATTTCCTATTTTACCTTTAACAAAGAGGAATCTGTTTGGTTCAGATTGACATTGAAATGTCAGATAATTGGCAAGATACCTGAATGGCATATGATTCATCTGACTAAAAGCCATAGCCATTTTGCTTTTCAGAAATAAACCTATTCATGTGTATACTACTCATTTTTGCATATTTTGACATTGTTTATATTTATAAATTGTTACCAATTTGCAATGGAAGAAAATGCTCATTATATTGCTTTGTATCGCAGGCCTCGTTAAACAAGCTGATGGAGACACTTGGTCAAGCAGAACCATATTTTGTAAAATGCATTCGCTCTAATGCAGAAAAGGTAAAAATGTCCTGTACATGAGCTTCTCAGCTTACTTCAAACAAAGCTTTAAATTCTTTCTAAGGAGAGTAAGTGGACAGGAAGAGTTCATCTATAATCTTTTTTAGGGAAACAGTATTTTATATTTTCTATGGATACTTTATTATTGTTGATTTAGCATCTACTAGAATTTGAGAAGTAAATACCTCTTGAAATTCCATCATAAAAAAAAGAGTTTTATGCAACTGTTGTTACCCTGAGATTAATTCCTCTTGTTTGTATATATACTGCCACTCCTAAAGAACTTGCTTGTCATTTTTCATGTGTATAGATTCTTAGCTTTATAAAGTAGGGAAGATGCTACGGATATTCTTGATTCCTTCTGTTTTTTATGACAGTTCCTCTAGAGATTTGCAGAATGTAGCTAATAAGTGTAAACAGTTGTCATCTTTATATTCATCATAGGAAAATAGTTCCTAGCCTGAGTAGCTAAAATGTGTAGAAATTATGTTCAGCTTTCTTAATTCTTAAGAAGCAGTTTCCAACTCTGCTGTCTATAAGCTTTGTGACTTTAGACAAGTTAACCTTTCTGTAGCTTAAGTATTTTCATTCATTTAAGATCATATGTGTTTATAGGACCTTATAGTGTTTTGTGAGTATATATGAGCTAATACCTGTAACATATGTAGAATGTTCCTAGCCCATGCTGATTAGTAAATGTACCTATTCTTTTAAGTGACTAAAAGGAAATCATTTTATTTATAGTTAAAAAGAAATTTGAGTCCCTATTATTAATTGAGACCTTGCCATACAAAGAGTTCAATTAATGAAGTATTTCAGAGTACAGAATAAATAATAAATAAATGTCAACTATTATTATTATTTAACATAAGGGGTTAAAGTTGCCCATTAACATTTTTTCCTTGACAGTTAGCGGGTATGCCCCATCTGTTTGCAGGAAAATGTTTGGGATTGCCTTAGGGAATCATTGAAAATAGTATTTAGAGTAAATAGGGAGGAATATCTGAAGCTCCAGATACATCTCTTTTTGGATGTCTGAAAACATGCCTACTAAGATACTTAGTGACTATCTCCCATTAGCTTCTTCCCTATCAGTGCCTATACAATGAAATCATCAATTGTCAGGGACCATAGGAATTTTTTGTTTTTCAGCATGTCCTACAAGTATCATCAGCAGACAGTATTTAGGGAAATAACCTACTCTTAACCTTGAACTAGTCATTAAAAGAAGAATCTGGCAGCTCTCAGTTTACTAAGGCATCTGGTAAAGTGGGGCAGGTGGTTTCTGAGTGAGACTAGAGATAAAATTGTAACTAAAAACAAAAATACAGACACTCTTGACCACATGTAAGTGGGTTAGTCTTGTTACTTATTTTATAGCGACTACTACGTGGCGTTCTCTTTTGGCAGCTACATTTCCTTTTGAGCTTTGAAGGTCCTTTCCTTCTATAATTAGAGAAGCCTGAAAACTTGGTTTCTCTTTTTCCCCCAGGGTCAGGTAGTCAGATCTTTTCTGAAAGCTACCAGCTGGGGAAGTAAGATTGTCCTGTCATCTCTACTATATCTTAACCAGACACCCTTCAGTCAATTCCTACATAGTCAAAAGTTAATTATACTTACAAGACAAACATTAATTTGGAGATCTGTTCTTCTTGGTTAATTTTTTTCCTGTATGCTTTGTTTTAGCTGCCATTAAGGTTCAATGATGCCTTGGTACTTAGACAACTTCGGTATACTGGGATGCTGGAGACAGTTCGAATTCGCCAATCAGGATACAGCTGTAAATACTCCTTCCAGGTATACTTTTATATTGATCTTTAATATATATATGCACATCAGGTAAATTATTCCTGTCTTATATTCTGTTTGGGGCTCACTTTTTATTTGTCTTAATTCTTCCTTTCATTCCCATCTTTTGGATATAGAATTACAGAGATAGAGAGTACTTATTTCTATTGAATGGCACCAGTCTCATTAAGCTTGTGTTGTAATAGTATCTAGTACTTGGCTATTCTCATTTGACCTGAATGTTTCCTAATACTAAATTTACTCATCACACAGCAATTCTTCATGCTAATTACTTCAATAATTGAAATAGTTCAATCAGAACTGTCTAGTTCAAAAGAAATTATTCCATTTGGCTTTTCACTCAAGTTTTCTAGCAGGATTTTCTTTTATAGGAAGCTGCCAGCAAGGCTCATAGTTTTCATGAGTACTGCCGCTATGCGTATAGAAATTATATTGAAGCTTTTCAGTAGCTGAGCAGGTCTTTGAAACTATTACTAAGAGGGGAAGTCTCATTCTCAGTTATATCCTGTAATGAGTTCCTCCTTTGCTTATTTTTCTGCTAAAAATTTCTGATTCTTGTTAAATAACTTTTTCTTTGGTTTTTAATACAGCTTTCTCAAAAGCGATGATTAGTTTCTGCCTCTTTTCTTCTCCCATTCCCTTTTGATAACAAGATGCTATGTAGAACTCAGTATCCCCCTCCCCATTTTACAAATTAACGTTTTGTAATATTTTAAGTTAACAAGTACTTCCTTGGTTCATCCTGTGTCAAAGAATGAGGAAAGGATTAGTAAAAGGATCATTAGCTAGCATTTAGGACCTTGTTTATATATCATGCTCTTTTGACTTGTAACATTTTCTTTTCATTTTTCAGGATTTTGTGAGCCACTTCCATGTACTTCTTCCTCGAAATACTATTCCATCCAAATTTAACATTCAGGATTTCTTCAGGAAAACAAATATTAATCCAGACAATTATCAAGTTGGAAAATCCATGGTGAATATATGTATAGCCCTTGTCTAAATTGCATATATTTTTATATTTAAATAATAATGACAATCTGCCTATCAGAATGTTTTATAAAAATATAGTGTACCAGCTGTCATAAGAAAAAATAATCAATATTAAAGAGCTTCTGGTAAATTCTCTAGTTCTACCTAAATTATTAACTGCTTAAAAACCATCTCTCCCTAGTGTTCTGTAATCTCAAACTCTATTACCTTTTCCTAATTTACCTGCTTTCCTTAATTTGTTACTTATTCTTTCTGTCATCCTTTTTCTAGTTTCTTAGGCTAGAAACCATATTTGGCTTACCCTTCCATTTAAGTCTCTTAGAAAGTTCTGGGGTTTGGAGGGGGTTTTTCCTTACAAATGATTCTCACGTCTCTCCTTTTCTCATTGATACATCTTCCATATTAATTCTGTTTCTTTACCTCACTTATATTACCCTTACAATAAACAGATTTCTCATCTGGTTCCAGTCTATTTGTTGTTGTATTTAACTCACTCTACCCATTGTATCAAAATTATCATCTTAATATATTTCTTTCTTTATGTTGGTTTCCTGCTCAATAATAATCCCCTGATAACCTCACTAAATTCAAATATCTTTCTTTTTTTCAAAAGCCTCCTTATTGTCATTTTAATCTATTTAATATCTTCGTTGTGAAAGTTAAGTGTTTCATTGTCTCCTGTGTGTGCTTTTATCATTATTTTCAACTCCTTGTTTTGCTCAGGTGGGGTCCTCTGTCTCTTATCCTTATTAGTTTGCTGTTTTCCTCTTTGGGTACCAAATACCTGTTTGCTCATTTAAAAAATATTTTATTTTTGACAAAAGATAGGTAATAGGTTAATTAGTTTGATTGTGGTAATCATTTCAAAATGTATACATACATCAAAACATATTATATACCTTAAGTTTATACAGTTTTTCATATCTATCTGCTCTTAAAGGTGAGTGCCAATTCTATTTTCTAAGGGACCATGTCTAAGTTACCTAAGTCCCTTCCCTAAGGGACCATGTCTAAGTTAAGTTACCTCCTAGGTTCCCACAGATTTTTTAATGGAATGGAGTAAATAAATAAACTGATTAATAGTTTTTGGCATCTAGAAGCCTTTGATGCATACTGGATTAAAGAAAGACTTATCATTGGTTTATTCATGTTGTGATCAAACTTTGAAGACACGTGATTCTCTACTTTTCTTCACCCTACTCCAACATCCTTGAAAAATATGACATACTACCAGTAGTGCATCGGCTTATGACGGTGGTGTATTTCCCAAAGGAATAATGTATCCTAATCTTTGACACTGGGATTTTTGTACACGTGTCCCTTAGCATATCTCCTTCTATATTCTAATGTCTTTCCATTTTGAAAATGACTGCTTTAGGTAAATTGATAGAAATATTTTTAAGTACTGCTTTTACACATCTGATACTATATTTGTCTTTTCTAAAAATGTTGATTACAGAAGGTATGATTCATGAAATAAATTTCTCATTTCTTTAAAAAATATTTGTTTTTATTAATTGATTTTAGAGAGGGGGGAGGAAGGGAGAGTAGGAGGGACAGAGAGAAACCTCAATTTATTATTCCACTTATGTAGGCATTCATTGGTTGCTTCTTGTATGTGCTCTGAGTGGGGATCAAACCTGCAACCTTGACATATTTGGATGGTACTCTAACCAACTGAGTTACTTGGCCAGGGCTTATTTCTTCTTAAATTGTGTTTTTCATCTTCTTCCTCCTGGTAGGTGTTCCTAAAGGAGCAGGAACGACAGCACCTACAAGATCTGCTTCACCAAGAGGTGCTCCACAGAATCATATTGTTACAACGATGGTTTAGGGTCTTGCTGTGCAGGCAGCATTTCCTCCATCTGAGACAAGCATCAGTTATCATCCAGGTGGGAGGCAAAGGATTCCTTGCATAAGATTGGCTAGTTTATTTGGCTTTTTTTTTTTTTTAAGTAACCAGAACTATTTTACTATGAAATAAGAATGTAAACTTCTTCAGAGATATGAATGTGTCCTACTCATTTTTGAAATGTTGATAGCACTGAAAATATTATCTGGCTTATAATAATAAACTATTAATAAATATCAATGGAAGTGAATTTAAATTAAATCAGATTTATAATGGCTTGTGAGTTATGATTAGGGGCAAAGGATTATTTGCCTTAATTTTTGTTGACATCGTTATATTTAATAATTTTCTGAATGATTTTTGAGTTATACTTATATTGTTATACTCATCTTGGTCTACAGGTACCTTATTTTATATTTATCTGTTTTATTTTCTCCATCATCAATTTATATGATAGCTGTTTCCATAGGGCTTTTTGTGTTTGCATGAAAATCTGTAATACCTTATTTTCTGTAATGTGTATATATTGAACTTAAACCTGATTAATATTGACATCCTGTAGTATGAGAATAATTTGTGATTTGTTAAAATTAATTTGTAGGACATGAAAGCATCAAATATTTTTCTATAATTAATTTTATTGAGGTTATATTATCTAAAATATTTGTTTTAACCAAGCATATCAAGAAAAGAAAAAATTTTAATTACCCTCTCTTTAGCCGCTTACCTTTTAATTAAGACATAAGAAATTTATTCTTTTTTCCTTTTTCTGTGAAAATGTGGTATAAGATATGACAAGTTTCTGTTACTACTTTGTCTTTACCATAGCGTTTCTGGAGAAATTACCTAAATCAGAAGCAAGTCATCAGAGATGCAGCTGTGCAGAAAGATGCTTTAGTTATAGCTAATGCAGCTACTCTCCTTCAAGCTTCTTGGCGTGCTCACTTAGAGAGGCAGCGGTATTTGGAGCTCCGGACTGCAGCCGTCATCATCCAGCAGAGATGGAGGGAGCACTACAGGCGGAAGCAAAGGGCTGCTATTTGTATACAGGCGCAGTGGAAAGGTTATAGGGAAAGTAAAAGGTATCATGAACAAAGGAACAAAATTATCCATTTGCAATCAATATGTAGAGGATTCAGAGTAAGACAGAGGTAATCTTTGTTGTTATAATAATTCTCTCTGCTGAAATACATATATACCTCTGCTCTAATATTTACCTAACTTATATTAGAATGGTTACATGCAGAGTGTCTTCTCTGCTGAACTGTGATACTCCTAGCAATTTTAACCGCCTTTGCGTGGTATATAGTAGATGCTAAATAAGTGTTTATTGAATTAAATTGGATTGAAAACCTGTGGTCTACAGTTATAACTGCTAAGAGTCGACTTTTACACTAGGTTGAATCTTTAAAAATTGGCAATATTCAACTGTTTTTACTTTTAGAAACTTTAATTTTAATTTTAAGGTTTACCTTAAAATAAGAATATTATTAAATGAGAGCTTTACTTCTGATTTTATTTATTTTTTTAGTAGAATACTTAAGTAGGAGTAATTCACTTAAAGAAATATAATCTCACTAAGGGAAACAGAATTATGAAATGTGCAACCAAGTTAGTTTGAGAAATACTTAGATGTAATAAAAAATTTTTGAGACTGTTCTCTCCAGTGGTAACCAAGACATAGATCTAATGTACTTCTTTTTAATTTTTATATAGATTTAAAGCTTTAAAAGAACAAAGACTAAGAGAAACAAAAATAGAGCTTGGATTGATAAATATTGAACCATATGGTTCTGTGAAAATTCATGGTTCAGACCCTTCAGAATGGGAGGATTGTTCCTTTGATAACAGAGTAAAAGCCGTAGAAGAATGTAAATCTGTGATAGAGAGCAATCAAAATAATTTAGTGGACTGCTGGAAGGAGTCCCCAAACAAGCGACAGGAGAGAGCCAGAAGCCAGAGTGGTGTGGACTTGCAGGAAGATGTAGTTGTAAGAGAGAGACCCAAGTCCTTGGAGGATCTCCACCAGAAAAAAGTAGGACGTGCCAAAAGAGAAAGTCGGAGAATGAGAGAACTAGAACAAGCTATATTTAGCTTAGAATTGCTGAAAGTTCGTTCTCTTGGTGGCGTGTCTCCTTCAGAAGAACGCAGATGGTCTACGGAACTGATGCCTGAGGGTCTTCAATCCTTTCAGGGTACACCTGAAAGTGAAAGCTCTCAAGGAAGCTTGGAACTTCTCAGCTGTGAGGAAAGCCAGAAGTGCAAACTGGAGTCTGTAATTTTAGATGAAGGAAACTTGCAGTTTCAATCACCTGAGATATCTAGAAGTCAAAAATTTGATTCACAGGACAATGCCCTCAGTGCCTCAAGTGAGACTAATTGTACAGTGATTCAAAAGGGGGCACCCTCTGAATCAGTGCATTTGAAGAATGGGACTATGAAGGAAAAACTGGTTTGCAGTTCTGAATCTATTACCTATAAGCCACCCCTGAGAGACCCCTTTATTTCCAGTAGTCTGCCTACATTTTTTTATATTCCTCACCAAGACCCACTGAAAACAAGTTCCCAACTAGACACAAGTATCCAGAGAAACAAACTAATGGAAAGTGAAGAAACACTTCCAGTTCTTACTTTAGATACAAACAGGGAAGCCAGAAAGTACCACTTCTCAGGAGAAAATCAAGTTGTTGCTTCTTGGAATACAGATTCTTCTAATACTGTACTTAAAAAGTTGGAAAAGCTCAACACTGAGAAGGAAAAAAGGCAAAAGCAGTTGCAGCAACAGAATGAAAAAGAGATGATGGAACAGATTCGCCAGCAAACAGATATTTTAGAGAGGGAGCGTAAAGCTTTCAAGACAATTGAAAAACCAAGAATTGGGGAGTCTTTCCCAGTATCATCTTCCCATCAGTCAAAGCAAAAAATAGAGAGGCCATCCTCTCTCCTCATCCTCAATACCCCAAATAAGGAAGAATCCGGTGTACTAGGGCCTCCAACAGTAACTGTAAAAGATGCAGCTTTTGCCCGGAAAGACAGTCCATCTGCTCACTTACCCGTGCAGGATCAGAGCGTCTTCCTGTGCTTTGAAAGAAAAGGAGGCCTGTGTCAATCTAGTACTGTTGATGAATTGTCCAAGACACACAGAATGTGCACCCAACTGAATGTAGCCTGTAACCTCTCTAATAATCACGTTTCAAAAAAAGAACACTTTAGACCAACTCAGGCTTATGGCCACAGATCTAATGACCCTCCCAGAGACGGAACTACTAGGGCCATTTTCTACACACCAAAGGAAAATATGAGTATTCCCCTGTAAGTGATATGTTTATTTTGTGTGTGTGTATGTATAAATGGAAAACTTTTTGGAAAATTTTATAGGCATATCTCAGAGATATTGAGGGTTCAGTTCCAGATCACTGCAGCAAAGTTAGTATCACAATAAAATGAGTCATAATCTGTTTTCTGATGGAAAGTCTTAACTTTAATTTTAAAAATTGCCTGTGTTAAGGTACCTTAACACAGCCTCAACTCTTTGTATGGGTGCTGTTCAAATTAGCCATTTTCTCTGCATGAAAAATATTTGTAATTGTTGACTTTACCAGCCACTTGAAATTGAATATAATTATACCCTAAGAATTGACTAAGCACAGAAAGCAATTTTTGGTCCCTTCCCATTAAATGAGAAGGTAATACAGTGCCAGTAAGCATAGGAGGTTTTCAGGAAATGCTGATTGTCCTACAACTGTTACATGTAGCAGTCCAAACTCGTTAGTTTCAGGCTTTAAAGTTAATGTGCTTCATTACAGCTGATGGCCTATATTTTGTTCTTTATTAAGTTATACTTTTTTTGTTGTAAACGTAATTTAACATCGTAACTATTTTAAATGTACAGTATAGTAGTGTTAATTATATGCACATTGTTGTGCAGCAGGTCTCTAGAACTTTCTCATTTTGCAAAAACAAGCTCAGTTACCCATTGTACAACTCCCCTTTTTCCATTTACCCCAAACCCCTACTAACAACAGCTCTCCTTTCTGTTTCTAAGAGTTTGACTATATTAGATACCTCATATAAGTGGAAAACCTTTATATTTCATTAACTAGTTATAGCCACAGGAAAAGCTTCTGTTGTTGTCTTTCCACTTTTTAAATTATTGTTCAAGTACAGTTGTCCCCATTTTAAGAAAAGCATTTAAGTAGTACATAAAATATTTGATTAAGTTTAAGATATTTGTATTAAGTCTTTATATACAGTGGATTCTTTCAATTCTTGTGGGAGAATATCACTGTTTAAGTGAAAGGTGAGGGCTATATTTTAGGGCTAAAAAATTAAACTTCATAGTAACTATGAAATAACTTTTTTCTCTTATCTCCTAAGTTTTTAATCTTTCTGTCTTTAATACTATACAGATATTAGAGAAACCCTTTGTAAATTTGGGCAAGATATCATTCATATATTTTTCTACTAATGATTTCTATACAGTACTATGAAATATAGTTGGACTAAATGATAGATTGAGGTCCTATTTCTGCCAGTAGCCTAGAGATTACTCAGAAGTTCAAAGACTCTGTATGGCATTTTAAGCCCTTCAGAGTTTTAAAAAAAATATTATTTCCTATCACTTTAAGTTTAGTGGTGTACAGTGTGGAGTTGTTGGATCCAAGAGTCTGCTTTGTTAGAAGTCTTACTTGTACATTTAAAAAAAATATTAATCATCTTTGGGAATTGCTTTTTTAAATCAATTTTTCAAGATAATCAAGTCTACTTGATTTAGTTTGCTTTACCTCATTAGGATCTGTTTATCTTCAAAATGATTATATATTAGATTGTTTATGTGAAAGCTTAAGTAAAAGTCATACTTCAAGTCTCCTCTCATTCTGTAAGTACTACTAGAAACTTTAGCATTTTATAGAATTATAAATGTTGGTGTTCCTAAGTTTATCTAGTCCCATTCTTACATATTAGAAATAAGCTCATTGACTCCACTAGAGATGAAATGATTTAAGGTCACATTAAATAGCTGGGTCTAGAACCTGAGTTCATCATTAGAAATCAGCATTGGGTTTCAGGATTAGGAAGTATCACCAGGTTAGCATTCTTTGTGTGCCATAGTGGTAATAAGTCTGCAGTTGTCTTCATCTGATTCATGAGGGAGAACAAAAAGAAATGCAGAGATCTAAAGAAAATACTGTAAGTTTAAAAGTTAGGGTGGTCACGTGCCGTCAAAGGTCCTACTAGTTGATTCTCTTTTTGGAGGACGAATCAAGGCCAATAGGCTCAACTGTGGCAGGAGAGATTTTAATGGCCTAAAGGAAATCTTTAGGACCAACTCGGATTGCTAGGGTTGATCATACACTGGTCAAAAAGGGAGATCTCTGAAATGCCATCAGCAAGGAAAGATTGCTGTTTCTTTAGGTTCATTTAGGGTTTATCATCACATAGGGCAGAGGACAAAGTAACCTCTTATAGCCCCTAGTTCTTTATTTATAAAATGAAATGGAAGATTTTGAGTGGTAGAGAAATTACTCTGCCAACTCATATTCTAAGTTAGTGTCTACTTTAAACTTATGCTAGAAAGTAAGATATGATTCTCAATGAGCTTATAGTCCTGCTAAGGAGAGATTAGCAACATGTTGTTGGTAAATTTTTAAGACTTGTGGCACCGAGTAAACGTAGGTAATTGAAACCATGAAAAATGCAGGTTCTATTTAGATTTTCCTCAGACCCTGACATCCATTTCTACACAGAATGAAATGATAAAACAATTACATCATATGGTTATTCAAGCAAAATTAAGTTTTCACAGAGTAACACTATACTATCTGTATGGTTGAGGGCACACTTCTTTTAGCTTGGTAACAACTTCTATACTGCTAGTGTTGATTTTATTCTGCACAATCTCAAGTTTTAAAACAAAGACAGCAGATGAAAACTACAGAGAGGTTTCAGAAAGAAAATCTGCTAACCAATAGGAATCATCTCTATAAAGTAATGAGGTCCTTATCGCTGGGTGGCTACTTATCAGGTACTTTATAATGATTACAGTTAAAGGCCCATTCTAGGTCTAATTCTAAGCATTTGCAGATTTGATACTTTCCCTTTCTCATCATTAAATCCACATCATTTCATGAACTAATTTTGCTACTACTGTATTAAACATATGTCATCATAGTGGAATATGCCCAGTGGTTACCAGGGCAGGGTCTCTAGTAATTTATTCATACATGTAAATGTTTGGTAATAATATCAGTTAGGTAAGCAAAAAGTTTGGGGGTGTGTGTATTATTTTAGGAATTGAATAAGTTCTGGATATATGTGTGGAATTGGCTATAATTCTTTGATGTAGCTTGTCAAACCATATTTCATACTATACTTTGATACTTCTGCCATTAGATGTCTGCTAGGAATTGAAATGTAATCCTGATTTTTTATTCTAAGCATCAGCAAGGAATCCTTAAACAGTGGAAATCTTCAACTCCGTAAACAAGATGAACCAGCTCTGAAACCTGTAAAGTTAACTGGGCCGGGCCAAGGAGAGGTAAGTATGAAATTTTGTTTATCTATATTCTATGCAAAATAGATGCATACTATTTCGGAAATTACTATTCTTGTAGATATAGCATCTCATCTACCCATTATTCCCAAGAGTTTTATAGAGAAAGAAGCCGTGAGTTAAGTCTGTTATACTTAAGGGAGGTATACTTCAGGCAGGGAATGATGCCTAATGATACCAGACTGGATTTATAAAAAAGAAGTTGTTAAGAAAAAAGGCAATTTATGCAAGTGACTTTGGTGACTTATTATGGCAGTGAAAGATGACTTCCGTGGCTATGTAGATTTAGCTTCCATTCTCATCCTTTGTCCAGAGTAAAGTGTATGGATTGCTTTTGGTTATCTCTGTCACTTCTAGTGGAAAGGGCATGGTGGGGTGGTGGGATGTTACAAGAAATTCATGAGCGCGCTGATGTCTTTCATTGGCATCATCTCCCCCTCCCAAAGCCAAAAAACAAAACATTGTTGTGTTATTTGTTTTATCATTTGGTCAAGCAGGTTGCCAGACCGGCCCATAAAAAGAAAGCTCGAATGGCGCGGACGCGCTCCGATTTCTTGACTAGAGGTACTTTTGCTGATGGGGAGGGGGATACAGAGGAAGATGATTACGATGACATTGAGCCCCTTCTCTCCCTTGACCAACCTTCTCACTCTGAGCTAGGGCCAGCACCCAGCCTGGGTCAGGCCTCTCACAGTGACTCCGAAATGGTAATTTTACATCAATATAAGAAAAATAGGCAACAAGCAAATCTGATGGGAATAGTCTTTGCTAATCTAAAGCTAACTTTCACAGCTTCTTCCCCATATAATGGTTTGTACATGGGAAACCTCAGTAAACACAGCAAATAAGCTAAACTTTAACAGGACTAAGATAAAGGACACTTTGTAACAGGGCATGTCGAACCATAAATTAGACAACATTGAGGTTAACTTGGCACTAATGTAGAAATTTTCTGTGTTATATCTCGAAAGGTGTAGAGCAGGAACCTTCAAATATGTTTTTCAGTAAAGGGCCATATGATAAACATGTTAGACTTTGTGGGACATACAGTCTCCTTTGCAACTACTTTAGTCTGCCACCATAGAGTGAAAACAACCATAGACAATAAGTTAACAAGTGGGCATGGCTATGTTCTAATAAAATCACTTACAGAAATAGGCAATGGATTCTATTTGACTTGTCGGCCATAGTTTTCTGACCCCTCCCTGATCTAGTGACTAGGGTATGTGTTAAACAGTCCAGTAGCTTTTCATTGAAATGGTGTTTTCTTTGTCTTTAAACTTGCTTTCTCCTCCCTAATTTTTTAGTAATAAAAAATTAACATTAATTTTTAAACATTTAATTTAACGAGCAGTACCAAAAATCCCTAGACCAACCTGGCAAAGTAGAAGGTTTTGTATGTAATTTAAGTTTGTATTAGTCACAGGTTATAATGATGGGGTTATGTTTGAATAAAACTGTACTGTTTTGACTAAGAATATAACCTTATCTTTATATTTAAACAAAAATTAGGTACACATGCAGTTTAACAAGTATGAATGTATTTGTGGATATAAAGTGTTTGATTTTGGAATTGTCCTGGAAAATACACAATATCAGGACCCTGTATGTTTGATACATACTAAAACTTTACTGCTGATGAAGTAGAGTGATGCGCAGGTTATTTCTATCCATATTCTTAACTAATTGGATCACATTCTTTTTTAATGGGAGAAAAGTTTTAGGATGGTCTGATGGTCTTCTTTTGACTCATTAAATATTTTATCTTTGAACTGTTTTAAGCTGGATTGTGCCAAAGAGCTAGTTAATTAAAAATTTTGCTAATTTCTAGAATACTCTCATTTTCTTTATCTTTTGTTGAGGATAAACCCAGGTTTTAAATGACAATATTGACATTGTAAGAAAGAGAAAACAATATCACAGAAAAATGCACTGCCAGTTCTCTAACTAGACAAGTGGGTCATTGCCCCAAGCCAAACCGTAGGATTATAAAAGTTGGGAACAGTCTGTATATCCATGAATAGAGTCAAAGCCCCTCTCTTCAGATAGGATAAAACAACTTCACTTTCGAGGTGCCCTGTTTTTGAGTAAAAAATAACACATATTCTTATATGATTATTAGTTAAAGATGAAACTGTGTAATGAATCAAAGTAATATTAATGAGAAGTACTACTAGATATATTTTTAGTGTGAATAGAGAGCATACTGAATTTGTTCTCTATAGCATAAGTAAATGTTTCACTTGTGGAAGAACTTAGCATTTATAATTGCTGCTTTGTTCCTGAGAGTTTCCTTTGTTACAAACCTTAGTCCTTTTGGTGGTAGATTTCTTTCTCACTGAGAACTCTACTGAGATGAGCCAGGAAGTTGGGCTTTGTGCTTGGAGCATTCAGCCCCTTGAAGGCTTCTAGCTGGTAGCCTCTGCCTATGATCCTGTTCACCTGCTTGACAGTCACTGCATGCCAGTAGTTGTAGAACACCCGCCCTGCAGTGTGTTAGTCAGTCACCTCTCCCGCTTTCTCACTGCCCTTCTGTTTCATCACTAGCTATTTTAGGAACAGGTGGTGGTGGTGGTTTCTGGTGGATACTTGCATGGAGAAGCTTTGCTTTCTAGAATATGCTGACACTTAGTGGGATTGGGGGTGGGAATGGTAGGGACAGTTTTAAAGTGTGTTTCTGTTTATATTGAAAATATTCCATGTTCTAATGTTGTCTGATATTGTGAAGATGAAGACCAATTGTTTGTAAATGGAATCTACTGAATTCTCATGATTGAGATATCTTCAGATTTTAAATGGGCTTGATTTTCTGAGTACATGTATTTTAAAAAGAGGACAATTTGGGGGAATTTTATTTTTCCTGGACAAAGTGATCCTATCACTGACTTCTGCTAAGAAGTGTGTCATTCACTGTTGGATAAAGCCCTCTGACCCTTCCAGTTGTGAAAAATCTAATGAGATAGAGACAGTTACAAATGAATTATGTGAAGGGAGTTTGATAAGGATTACCTCCTGAGTTGATGAATTGTTCATCATTTTTTAACTGCTTTTGTAGGAGTAGAGAAAAGAATAGTATATTCCTTCCTCAAGATTTTGATATTTTGTTTTTTAATTTTCTACTTTTAACTTTGCCATTTGAATAACTGTTCAGTTTCTATTTACTGCTCTCAGTTCCTATATCCACTCTGTTGGCTTTTACCCAAGAAGAATGACCCATTCTACTAAGCAGGATTTTTAAGGTGGCTTTTATATAGTAATTTAGTCTGTCAGTCTTCTGAATGCTGAATTAATAGGATGATTTCTGTCCCTTATTTGTAGGATTGGTATAGGTAACATTACAGTTTTCTCTGTATAGTTTTTTCTGCCAGTTACCAGAGTTAAACCAATCATTTCTATGGGTATGATTCCCAAGTAACTCTCCAGAATTTGTCTTCTTTATCTCCAGTATGATAAAGCTAAATTTCTCATCCCCTGGGAAAAACTGCTGTCACTTTTCATATTCCTTTTTCTGTTTATTATTCTCTGAGATACTGTCTAGTATCTTAAGCTGTATTGAATTTTCTTTCATTCTGCTATCCATTCCACCAAAAAACTGCCAGAAAAATGTGTTGATTAAACCTAAATTTATTAGCTTATTTTATAGTAGGTGAAAATCCACCTTGACTAGGTCTTAGTAATTTTTCAGAAAGGGGAAGTCAAGGCAGGATGTTTAGAGGATCTTAGAACATAGACTAGTGATTTTGAAGTGGGCATTGAAAACTCATTGGTAGTGAACGAAGCCGATGACAGAAAAAAGGTTTAGATGGCTGGCCCCTAGATAACAGCCACACTGTTGAGTATACTTGGTTCTTATATGTGTACTTTATTCTCACCCAAAAGTTAGACACAGTTTATAGCATTGTGACTCTGCTTTTTGAAGATTTTACAGAATTTCTCTATGAAACTGTCTGGAATTGGTACTGTTTTGTGACATAATTTCTTTATAAGTTTCTCTATTCTAGTAAAATTAGTCATTTAAGCTTTCTACCTAATGGGTCCAATTTTGGTAAATAGTTTTTTCTTATGAAATTATCTATTTCATCCAACTTTTCAGTTTGTTTGCATAAAAGCTTAGAAAGTAAGTAGTCTCTTAAGATTTAAAAAAATTCTTTGTTTCAGTGGTTATTCCCCCTTTGTTATTTCTTATTTTGTAGATTTGTGTTTTTTCTTTTTTTAACCTAACATGTCATTTGTTAATGTTTTTCAAAATAACAGGATTTTAATTTATTTATTATACCTGCTTCCCCCCATTCTCTTCTGATTCTGCTTTTGCCTTTGTTATTATTTGTTTGCTATCTTCCAGTTATGTTTTTTACTTTTATAGCTTTTGATTTGGGGGTTTGGAATAATGTATTTATTTTTACTGATACAAATTTTTAAGGCTACAAATTCTCCTCTGAGCAGTGCTTCAGATGTATCTTATTTATTCTAATGTATAAAGGTTTTTTTAGAAAAATGTAATTTCAGTTCATATTACAATTTTTTTGTTGAGAGCTTGTATAATAAATTTTTTTTTAGTTTTCAAAGGAAGAGTCATTTTGTTTTTTTATGTGTTGGTTTCTAGTTTTATGACATGATCAAAGAATATTTGTAATGTTTCTGTTTGATCAGATTTATCAGTATTATTTTTTACTTCATACATATATGATCAGTTTTTGTGACTGTACTATGTATATTTGATAAGATGTATTTTCTATATAGAGTGTACAGTTTCAGTACATATTCATAATCTCTACCTTATTGACTATGTTGTTTTATACATTTTTAATCTGTCTTACACAGAGAGAATGCTGTGTTAAAGTCTCCTATTATTTATTATGAGTTGTGGCTTTTAGTATTTAAAAAATGTCTTTTGTGCCCTAGCCATTGTGCCTCAGTTGGTTGGAGCATTGTCCCATAAACCAAAAGGTGATAGGTTCAATTCCCAGTCCAGGCCAGTCCAGGCACATGCCTACATTGCGAGTTCAGTTTGGTCAGGACATGAGGCAACCAATCAGTGTTTCTCTCTCACATCGATGTTTCTCTCTGTCTCTTCCTTCCTCTCTCTCTAAAATCAATAAGCATGTCCTTGGGTAAGGATTTAAAAAATATCTTTTGTCACATTCAGGACTTTTTGCTTGAATCCTACTCAATAGTAATATCATAGCCTCTTGTTTTCTTAGTATTTCTATTTTCTCAGAATACTTTTGGTCATACTCTTATTTTTAGCCATTCTGCATCTTTTGGTTTTAGAAGTGTGTTTTCTACACAATTTAGTTTGGTTGTCCTGCTTTGTGAGCCAAATTAAAATTTTCTTCCCTTGATAGGTGAGTTAAATCTATTCATATTTATTAATATAACTGATAGATTTAGCCTCAACTTTTAAAATTTTCTATTTTAACAGCTCAAGATGGTTTCTGTTGATAAGGCCATAGTCAAGCAGGCTAAGGACTTAGAAATATTGTAATTTAGAAAAAGGAAATACTGAAAAATAACTTGAATAAGTAATAAGAAATTCTGTCCTTCAAATTGCATTGTCTTTAAAAGGGCATATTGTAAACAAATGGCACAGGAATTGCCAATTGAAAATCAGGTCTCAGTTGGATAGCCATGTGACTTGTTTATAATTTAGACTGTTATTTGTGATAATGATTTTTTATTCTGTGGTCCTTTGGTTTTTCATATATTTCTGTGTACTTGCTCTCTTAAATCCTTTAGTGTATATAACAAGAATCTATAATAGCGACTTAAGCCATAAAAATGAGGTATGAAAGACTGTACTTAGCATTCCATATTCATCAGATTCTTGATCTTTTGTCTGTCTCTTTAGGAGTTTTGACTTCTTTCTTTCCTTTTCATTTGATATTCTTTGTTAAACTGTCAGAAAACAGGAGCTCAAAGGTCCTATTTAGCATCTTCATTGACTTAAGTTCTCTTCACTTCAGATTGTTCTAGGCATTTAATAGAGTTTTTAATAGGTTCTTTTATGTCAATAAATCTCTGAATAATATTAATGTATTTTTGTATGTTTTTAATAGGTGTAATTCTCAAAAAATTCTATAACCTGAGTTTTAATTAGACTGCTATGATATAGTTACTTGATTTTAAAGTCTTTCATGTATATAATTATTACAGACGTCACAGCGATTTTCTTCAATTGATGAAGAAACAAAGCTTCATAAGACTATGTCTCAAGGAGAGATTACGAAATTGGCAGTGAGACAGAAGGCTTCAGATGTGGATATAAGGTATAAAGTATACACTGAAAGTTAATAGGGATAATATTCTTTTCCCTAATTGACTATAGTTGAATACTGAGCCTCTTTTCAAAACCATAATTGATAGAGCAGTTAGTTTATATTTTCAACAAGTATTAAGTGCTTACTGTGTGATAGACACATAATAATTCAGATGTATAAAATGAGCTTTATCTTTGTGTGATTTGGGCAAAGTCTTTAAATCATTATACTACTTGTGATTCTTATTGTTGTTGTAAAAGAGTACTCCAGAATGACATTGAAAGTCTGGCTTTGGACTTAGATTCTCTTATAAGTGTTTTACAACTGGAACTGGAAAAATCTTTTGGGAAGTAATGCTATTTTCTTGAAGAGAGTATGTGGGATTTTCATTTGTCGAATATATTTGGAATGTGGAGAAAAGGGAACTTTAATCTTAGTGCACTGTTTGTAGAAATGCAGATTGGTACAACCACTATGGAAAACAATGTGTGGAGGTCCCTCAAAAAAATTTAAAGTGGACCCTGGCTAGTGTGGCTCAGTGGATTAAGCATCAGTGTGTGAACCAAAGGGTTGCTGGTTCTGTTCCCAGTCGGGGCACATGCCTGGGTTGCTGGCCAAGTCCCCAGTAGGGGGCAGTCAAGAAACAACCACACATTAATGTTTCTCTCCCATTTTCCCTCCTTTCCTCTCTCTAAAAATAAATAAGTAAAATTTAAAAAAATTAAAAATGGACTTGTCCTATGACCCAGCAATTTCACTTCTGGGAATATATCTGAAGAAACCTGAAACACTAATGCAGAAGACTATATACATCCCTATGGTCATCGTATCATTATTTACAATAGCCAAGCTATGGAAGCAATCCAGGTGCATGCCCATCAGTGGATTAAAAAAAGCTGTGGTACATTTACACAATGGAATACTGCCATTCATCACAGTATGATTGGACCTAAAGCGTATTATGCTAAGTTAAATAAATTAGCAAGAGAAAGACAAATACCATATAATTTCACTTATGTGTGGAATCTAATGAACAAAATAAAAAAAATAGAAATAGACTCATAGGTACAGAGAACAGACTGACAGCTGTCAGAGGGGAAGGGCGCCGGGGGGGCAGAGTAAAAAATGTGAAGGTCTTAAACAGTACAAATTGGTATTCATGTAACAGCCTCAGAAATGTAGATTACAGCATAGGGAATATAGTCAATAATGTTTAGATAAATATGTATGGAGCAAAGTGGGCACTTGGAGCAGCAGGCGGATCACTCTGTAGGGTATGTGATTTTTCTGGCCACTTTGCTGTACATCTGGGTCTAGTGCAGAATGGTGTTGGGTATGGACTGTGGTTGAAAATTTTTTAAAAATTAGAAAAATAAAAACAGCAAAGTCACAATTTAACCCCCCCCCACAATTTTTTATTAATTGATGATGAAGAAATTATTGCAGGTACAGAAGATATTTTAGAATAATTTTACATTTTTAAAAATGAATTTAAAGTACAAATACAATTGATCTGTTTCAGGAAAAATACTTATCACCAAAACTGATTCTGCAAAATATTTAAAGAAAAATAAGGCAGACTAAATAAATAAATATTTTTGTTCCTTATTATGTTATATAAGGCAATTGGGCCCGCACTGAATACTTGAAATCTATCTGGTTCATAACCCTATTAAAGACTATCTCCTTAATAATTGCCAAGGCATAATCCTAGGTACCATATTTTGTTGTGCATAATGGGCCCTTTTTGTGCAAATTTTTGAGGGAAAAATAAGTATGCACATTATACATGGGTAGTACTAATTTCATATCTATATGGATGTTTTTAACTTTTTTATTTATGTGTATGCATTCAAAGTGTAACTCTAGAAAGCAGTAAAAGTGTCTGTATGCAAAATAATACCCTGGAATATGATGATCAGTTTTGTTTCTAAATATAAATAAATAAATAATTGAATTAAAAATAAAAAGGGAAGATATTTTCCCTGCAGGTTTGGGCCAAAAATGTGGGTATGCATTATACACGGCAAAATATAGTAACCTAAATCCAGAGCAGATCATTTTGGAGATCAAGTTTTGGCAAACTAGAAGGAGCATCTAGCTGGGGACAGCAGATCAAGTATATAAATTTAATTTCTACTTCCTCCTCCAAAATTACCAAAATGACAAAACGTATGCAGAAGCAAAAACAAAAACAAAAGGAAACAACAATAATAAAACTAGTATTCAAAAGTAAATAGACAAATTTTAAATGTATTCATAGGGGAAATTTGAACCCTAAACCAACTGGATAAACCTGAGAAAGAAGCCTCAGGTTGATTGGTCTTCCCCTATCCAACAGAAAACAGGAGATTTATTCCCTGGAGAGGATAAAAACAGAAGATCTCTGGCTCGGGGTTACATATTTGGCACAGGGAATTTAATGACTGTCCACATAGTGAATGTTAAGATTGCCCAGCTTTTTCCCTGATATAGTTTCCATATTTAATCGACCATCTAAGCAGATGGTTCAAAGAGTCTTTGGGACATTTTGTCCAACCCTTTAGGAAAGACCTAGAGGTACTGGTATCGGGCTCTCCCTCCCTACAAAGTAGACCAACCAGTTAACCCTACAAGGAAGACCACAGTTTGGAAGCCCCATGGAACAGCTTTTTTTTTTTTTTTACCCCATTTTTGATTGTCACACATTTGAGGAAACATATTAAAGAAACTAAAACTAATGGATAAAATACAACTTGAGAGAAATAAACTATGTAGGGCAGGGAGTGTGTGGAACTCAAGACAGATAAGTACAACTATCAACAGGCCTGCATAAATAAATATGACTATTCAATACATCCATGAAACAAAACAGTGCATGAAAGAAAAACATTGAGGTTTAAAAATAGCATATAGAAACAACTCAGAAGTGTTACAAAGTTGAGGACATATCTCAGAAAGTTGAGCAAATAGACAAAGAGATGAAGAGGCAAGAAAAAATAAGAAAGTTAAGAGGAGCTAGTTTTTTAGTAGATCCAATGACCCAGTGATAGGGGCTTTGAAAAGGTAGAACAGGGGGACTTCCACCAAGATGGAGGCGTAGGTAGAAATACTTTGCTTCCTCGCACAACCGAATCTAAAAACAACAAAGTTTTTAACAATAATAAATGCAACCAAACCACAGAAAATCGAACAATACGGAGTCCAAAAACAACGACCCACTCAGCTAAACCCGTGAGAGGGGTGAAGCCAGTAGCAGAGCGGGTCAGGCAAAAAAGATCCGCTAACCTGGGAGGCCCAGGCAGCTGGGCAGCGCGCAGGCAGCCAAGGGTGCGGATCCTAGGTGCTGGGTAGCTATGAGCAGACCCAGGGAAGGTGCGGCCCTGGCTAGCTGTCTGTGGTCGCACATTTGCGAGCAGATAAACCAGTGAAGAGACACGCATTGAGACAGACCGAGCAGGCCCCAGTGCAGGGCGGTGGGCTTGCACATTTCTGCTCAGATAAACAGGCAGAGGAGAGCGGTGAGGCGGACCAAGTGAGCGGAGAGGACCGCCATTGCTCCCTCTCTGACCCTGCCACCACATACAGCATCACAAACCAGCGACCTGGGTGGCCCTGCCCTGGTGAACACCTAAAGCGCCTCTCCTCATACGTAACAGGCACAAATAGATCAAAACATGCTCAAGAACAACTCAGAGTCCAAGAGCCAATAAATCTAAGCAATGAAGAAATAGCCAAACTTTCAGATGCACAGTTCAAAACACTGGTGATCAGGATGCTCACAGAACTGGTTGATTTTAGTCACCAATTAGAGGAACATATGAAGGCTAAACTAATTGAAATTAATGGAAATGCACAGGAAACCAATAGTAATGGAAAGGAAACTGGGACTGAAATCAAGGGAGCAGACCAGAAGGAAGGAAAAAATGACCAAACAGAAAAATACAAAGAAACGATAATTCAAAAAAATGAGGACAGGCCTAGGAACCTCCAGGACATCTTTAAACGCTCCAACATCTGAATTATAGTGGTACCAGAAGGGGAAGAGGAACAGTTACTCGTAGAAACCTTATTTGAACAAATAATAAAAGAGAACTTCCCCAATCTGGCAAAGGAAATAGACTTCCAGGAAATCCAGGAAGCTCAGAGAGTCCCAAAGAAGTTGGACCCAAGAAGGAACACACCAAGGCACATCATCATTACATTAGCCAAGATTCAAATAAAGGAGAGAATCCTAGAAGCAGCAAGAGATAAGGGGACAGTCACCTACAAATGAGTTTCCATCAGACTGTCCGTGGATTTCTCAAAAGAGACCTTATAGGCAAGAAGGGGCTGGAAAGAGGTATTCCAAGTCATGAAAACCAAAGACCTACAACTAAGATTGCTCTATCCAGCAAAACTTTCATTTAGAATGGAAGGACAGTTAAAGTGCTTCTCAGATAAGACCAAATTCAAGGAGTTCATCATCACCAAGCCCTTATTATATGAAATGTTAAAGGGACTTACCTAAGAAAAAGAAGGTAAAAAAGATGAACAGTGAAAGGACAGCAAACTCACAGTGATTAACAACCACACCTAAAAGAAAATCAAATTAAGAGGACAGCTAGATCAGGAGTGAACCATAGAAATGGAGATCACCTGGAGGGTTAGCAACAGGGAGTGGGAGAAGGATAAGGGGGAAGAAGGTACAGAAAATAAGTAGCATAGACAGTAGATAGAAAGTAGATAGGGGGGAGGGTAAGAATAGTATGGGAAATATAGAATCTAAAGAACTTGAGACACGTGTGCATGAACTAAAGGGGGGAATGGTGGGGGGGTGTGCAGGGTGCAGGGGAATGAAGGGGGTGAAATAGAACAAATATAATGGCATAATCAATAAAATAAATATATTTAAAAAGTAGAACAAAGAAAATGGAAGGGATAAAATCATTAATAAAATAATTCAAATAATTTTATAGAATTGAAGGACATGAGTTTCTAGATAGAAAGGGCCTACTGAGGGCCCAACATGGAAATAGACCCATGCCAAAAGACATGTCATCATAAAACAATAGTGACAAAAGGAATCTCTATTATGATGGTGAAAGTAGCTTTTAAATGATAGTTGTACAGCAAGCACTGAAAGAAACCACGCTGGATTAGAGGAGGATAGAAGGCTCTGGGAGAGATTTCAAGAACATGAAACTTGATGGAGTGCCTGCTATGTTTGAGTGTGTTGAGAAGAGATACAAATGAGGAAACCCTTGGAGGTGAATTGTACATAGAAAAGTAAGCAAATATGAAGCAAAATATTTATTAACTGTAGGAAAATGTAGATTTTGCTGTGAACTACATGTCTCAATTGTGAATATTATTTAGATAATAAAATAGTGAATATTACTAAAAGAAAATATTCCATATTAATCTAACTAAAATTACAATATGAATCTATTGGGGGCACATCTGTGTTTGTGGAAGGTGTAGAACAGAAATGGTGAAACATGCTTAATTATAATCTGTGGTGATGGGTATGATAGCAATGTAAGTATAGTAAATATTAAAAGAATCAAATTAATTCAAAAGGGTTATCTCTAGGGAGCAGAAAAGAATAGAATGGCAGAAGAGCACTGTCATTTGTAATAAGCCTTGTAGAAAATTTCTCTTTACACTATATAGACATATAAGTTTAGGGGGAATCTTTAAAAAAAAACAGAACAGAGGAAAAAAGATCACATGCTTCAAAACCAGATAGACCACATTTTAACTTCAGCTAAAGTTCCATCAGCCCTCTGAGCCTAATTTGCTCATGTGTAAAGGAAGGACAATACCTATTTATCACACGTATCACCCTTAAATAACATGAGTTTGAACTACTTGGGTTCACTTACAGATTTTTTTGTAACAAATACATACAATATTGTTGATATATTTTCTTTCTTGATGATTTTCTTAATGACATTTTCTTTCCTCTAGCTTTATTGTAAGAATACAGTATACAAATCCATAAAACATACAAAATGTGTGTTAATTGTTTATGTCATTAGTAAAACTTCAAGTCAGAAGTGGACTATTGGTAGTTAACCTTTGAGGGAGTCAAAAGTTATATATGTATTTTCAACTGTGCATAGGGTCAGTGCCCCTAATCCCCATGTTGTGCAAAGTCAGCTGTACTTGTGAAAATTAGGTATATCATACATAAGGCATATTAACTGGCTTCTAGTAGATGCTCAAAAAATTTTTATTGACTAAGTGAACCTGTGAAGGAACTAACTGATGTATAAGGAAGTCTCCTAGTATGGGGTTAAGTTATCTGATACGTGGTCTGTAAACGTGAGCTTTTGTTGTTATCTCTAGGTGTTGCCTTGATTGATGTGATAAGAGTATATTAAGCACCTAAGAATGAGGCAGTATAGCATAGTAAGTGCGGTTCTCAACTTTGTCACTCATTGGCTATGGGTCCTTGGGAAAAGTGCCTAATAATTAAGTCTCCAATTTTTCACCTGTAAAACTGTTACAATAGTTTGGAAGTAAACATGTTGTTATAATTATCAAGTAATCCTACACAAGTACTTAGTACTGTGCCTGGAGCAAAATAGCAAGTTAAGTGGTGGCCTTTGTTAATTAATATTGATGGCTCATGAATATAGAGTACCACTAAAACTTTTGTTACGTAATGGTAAGTGGAAATATTTAAAATTCTATCTCCATCATGATTATAAGGTATGAAAACAGGGATGCTTATGGGTAAAGACTAGCAGAAAATTACCCCCAAAATATAAACTAATAGATTTCAGAGTGATGGGATATCAGTGATTTTTTTACAGTATTTTTTTCTTGTTAAATTGTCTGCACACTAAGTCCAAGCTAGAAGGAGGACCAGAATGAAAAGGTACCAGTTTAAGGCTTAGGAAACCTCAGTTGGAATCCTACTTCCACTGCTTTGTATCTGTTTATTTTAGGGAATTATTTAATGTCTCTGGATCTTACTATTTCTCTATTCAAGTTAAGGAAATTCAGATGAAATTTAAATGTGAAACTGAAAATTAAATATGATTAAACTTAGGTGAAAATGTTAAATGAACTAATATATACATGAAAGGTCTTTGTAATATAACTTAAAGTGGTATACAAATATTATCACTGGGGTGTGCTGATTTCCATTTTTACCTTTATTATTATTTTTTTTCTAAATAGACCCCAGAGAGCTAGGATGAAGTTCTGGGCCAAAGGGAAACAAGGGGAGAAGAAGACCACCAGAGTGAAACCTGCCACCCAGTCAGAGGTTTCAGCACTCTTTGCTGGCTCAGATCCGATTCCAGCCCATCAGTTTCCAGATGGTAAAAAATGGACAAAGGGTGGAGATTGTCTTTGTAATTCCTGTTCACTATTTGTGAAAGTAAACTGTTGTTCTGGCGTTTGTAATGGCAATCCTGTTGCTAGATATCTAATGAGCTAGGACCAGGATTATTACATCCTTCCTTAATTAAAAAATAATTATAAAAAATACATTGTACCCATAATAGAAGTTCCAAGGAAGTGTGGCACAAAGCAGTGAAGTAACAACTACTTTAAGAATGGTGGTGAATCTTTAGTCAGCCTCATTTTTCTGAAGTGTTAAAATTTAGCCATCATGTACTCATAGGCGAATATGTATTAGTAGTAAAAATAAGAGGATAGCAGCTAATACTTGAGTGTTCACTATGTACAAGGCATTGTAGTAAGCATGTGTGCTTTAACTCAGTTGATACAACTTTTTGAGGCATATTATTATTCCCACTTTCTAGATGAAAAAACTGAGATACAGAGAAGTTATTTCCTTATAAACATATAGTAATTGGCAGAGCTGAGATTTGAATCCAAGCAGTCTACCTCCAGAGTCCACATTCTTAACCACCCATGCTACATATTAAGTGCCTGCCATATGCTAGTGCCTGGAACTTTATAATGGTAGTTGTTATTCTAACTTTTTGAGCATCAGTCATAACACATTTGAAAATACCCAATGGTTAGTTAATCTGTTGAGAAAACTGGTTTTTCTAAATGCTGGAATCACTAACTCTCCAAGGATTTCAGTAATCACTCTATTAGATAACCCCATTCTTCCCAAGCCCTTTGCATGTTTTTAAGTACTATGTAAAGATGTCAGCTTTCTTCCATATGAATATACATGAAAGGTGGACATGTGGTAATGAGTGTGTGAAATACCAGTGGATGGGTGATAAAATGGAAAGAGGTTCTAGGAAGAAAGTTTTCTCTTAAAGAAAAATATAACAGACCCAGTTGCCATAAGTAAACAAAACTTCTCATATCTAGGATAAGCTAAAGGACCAAAGAGGAAAGATGGAAAGATCATCCTTCCACCCAGGAAAGGATGGGTCAGAGGTACCTCTGTGTCACAAGAAAAAAATGGTAGAAATACAGTTTGAACCTTGTTTTTGTGTGTTGTGGCTTTGATCCTATCAGTTGGCAAACTGATAAGGATAAAACTAAACATTAATTAAGTGATACTACAAGTTTAGTTAGGAGGACTTGGAGTTCCTTACCATTATATAGGATCAGTTTCTAATATCTCATCTGGTTTACAGTAGTCATTCTGATTTTCTCACTTTTCACAGTTACATTCTCCATTGCTAATTCCCGAGAAGAAAGGTTAAAGGTTTTTAGTTGGAGCATATATTATTAGCCATCTTCATTGGGTATTTGCTCCATAAGGATACATATATAAAAGTTAAGGTTGTAGCCTTTTAATTATAGTTGGGTAAATTTATTAAGGTTGCCCTTGTTTCTAATGATGAAATAAGATTATAAACAGTTTCTCTAGTAATTATTTCTTTATTATAAGAAAGATATTGACTTTGCTAAATGAAAAACATATCTATCTAGGTTTATAATAGAATTAAAATCAGTTGACAGCAATGTGAATGTATTTGTATCCTGTGTCTTTATAGTTTTTATTCTGGTGCCTTATTTGAGATTGGGTTAGCCTCGCTTCTGCCTGAGGTGGAATTACGCATTTAGGGGAGGCTGCTTTTTTCCCCAGTATCAGAATTAGCTTTTTGATGGATGAGGATATACCATTGGAGAGAGGTAAGGTGAATACATGTGGGGGAAACAAGCACGTATGTGAAATGAGAAGGGGCCAATATTCTCAATATTCTCAAGAAGACCCAGGCAGGGTTTTAGCAAACCCAGTGTAGTTCTAGATTGTAATGGATTACATGTAGTCCAATTTCCCGGGTGTAAACAATTGTAGAGAAAATTTATTGTGCTTTCTAATAGTGTATACAAGGTCAGTTCACTCCAGGAATTCTCTGGGAAATGCAGTTATTTGGAAAGTACATAAGAAAATCCTAAATACAAAAGAGACTGAAGCAGACATGAGCCATTTGTTACCTGGCTCCCTAAACAGGTTGCCAAACTACGTCCAGATATTATTACTGAAGCATTTATGGCCGTAGCCACTAGTAAGGAAATAGTAATAATTACCAAACCTCATTGGTTTGATAATTATGTATATTTATAATTAAGGCCATAAAAATTGTTGAATAGTATCAGTTTGGAGTTTCCAGTTACATAGAACACTGAGAATTACTCATTGCTCTTCCAGAAGCTTCCTCACTTTTGCTCTGGCATAAGATTGGAGCAAGAGGCTAGGTTGCCTCTTAATTATAAAATTTTATAAAATTTTATAATTATATAATTATATATAGCTGGATGATTATATAATTTTATGTAGCTGGATGTTCTTTCAAACAGGAGTAGTTAGACTGACTGGGTTAACATGCTAGTGTGGTTCTGTACTCTTGTTTCTTTTCTTTGGGATGGAGGCCTCTGAGATCCAGGCTTCCCATCTGTCACACACTTCTATCCAGATTTGTAGTAGCAGACCTTAAGAAGACATGAGTATTTTCCATTGAAAAGTGGTATAATTCTTAACTACATGTTCTGTACAAATGTGCAATCTGGGTTATTGTTTAACTATCTGGCTTCAAACATTAATGTTACTTTGCTTTTTAGATATTTACACGTGTTTCTTACAGTGAATTACTAAAGGAACTTATACTTAAAAAGAGGGATTTGGAGATTTCAGTATTTTTACTGAATATCTTTTCTTCTTGGCTACTCTATCTTGAATTGTAGAATCAGCTCTCTACCATCCAACACCTCCTTTGAGCCCAGAATTGCCTGGTAGTTCCCAGAAGGAGTTCAAAGAGAACAAAGAGCCCTCTCCAAAGGCAAAGCGCAAGCGAAGTGTGAAGATCAGCAGCGTGGCTTTGGAATCTATGCACTGGCAAAATGACTCTGTCCAGATCATAGCAAGTGCTAGTGATTTAAAAAGCATGGATGAATTTCTTCTGAAAAAGGTACACTTTGAATGCTGAGTTAGGCCCATGAACAGCTTTGACTCTGGAATACTTTTATGTATCAGAATATGGCCCTTAGAGATGAAGGTGACATACACTTCATTAAGTTAGATGGTCTGTTCTTTGTCAGGAAGATGCAAGTATGATACTCATTAGTCAGTCTGGGTAAACAGAATTGAATGTTTTAGGTTTTACTCTAGACTTCCATTTTACTATAACTGCCATGTTATAGTAAACATAACTATATGTGTGAAGGTGAGGCTTGTCATTGTACACTTGAAGTTTTTCTGGTAGCACTATAGAATCATAAATGTTAGAAGGGACATTAGAAATCACCCAGTAGTAATAAAACTGTGCCTGGTTAGTCGTGCTTTTACCTGGGTCCCTTAATAGCAGTGGCTTGCACTTTGCAGGCAGTCATTGTTGAAGTGCCAGTATGTGTCCACAGTTGCATTCACTTCTTTTCATTTACTTGATTCTCTACAAAAAAAAAAAAAAAACCTCTGTCTCTTGCCCGCAGGTGAATGACCTAGATAATGAAGACAGCAAGAAAGACACACTCGTGGATGTTGTATTTAAAAAAGCCCTGAAAGAATTCCGGCAGAATATCTTCAACTTTTATTCATCTGCATTGGCGGTGAGTTGGGCATTGTTAGGATATATTTGGTAGTTCAACATACAAAAAATTTGTCAGTACTATAGAAGATAATAGAAAGGCCATGTTTAACTAGAAATTTCTCCAGTTCCTTGGTTTTGTTTTATGTACAGATAGGGAAAAAGCATACTGACTGACTTCAGATCAATAGCTTCCTTGAATTTCCTTGAGTAGTTTTCTTTTTCCTCTTCCTGGTTATATTTTCATTTCCTTAAGATACTGAATTTAGATATTCTGGGTATGATTCTATTTCACCCAGTGGCTCCTTACTCTCTTGACTTCTCATAATCCTTTCAGTCAAGCTTCAAATTCTTACATGTGTGGAATTATCATACAGTTTTTTTTTCCAGTGGAATTAGAACAGCTTTATTCACTGATTTCTACCTATCATTTTATATCACTGTCAAATTTATTCTTTCATATGATACTAGTTCTCTTAGAAAATTTGTTTTTGATGCTTAACTACATAATAATTAATGCCTGACTTATGAGAGAAATTCCCAGGGCTTTTTAAAATTACTACATTTTTAAGCTGTTAGGTATTTACCAAAATTTAGCAAGTTTCACTCAGCCAATATTTTACAGTAGAATGGGAATTTACATCCACAAGTACCACATGGCATCATGGGTGTGCCCATTAGGAAGTATATCAGGTTCCTAATTCGTATTCTGAGTACTACCCAGTGCAAGTTGAATCAGTCTTCTATATTTAAAGAATTTCTTCAAAAACTTTAAAGTTCTTCTTTTATTGCTTATTAGGTGGATGATGGCAAAAGCATACGATATAAAGACCTCTATGCACTCTTTGAGCAGATTCTGGAAAAGACCATGAGGCTTGAGCAACGTGATTGGAGAGAATCTCCAGTCAGAGTTTGGGTGAACACTTTTAAAGTGTTTTTAGATGAATATATGAATGAATTCAAGACTTTGGATTGTATGCCCCCAAAGGTAAATATGATATATTTTGGTTTCTAAAAGGATTCAGTTATGAACTCTGCTTAAGCATCTGTTTGGGACAGCTGGTATTTGAGAAAAACATTATAGTGAACATGTCACTTCAGCATTACTTGAAATTTAACAAACTCTATTCTATCTTAGAAGTTCACCAGACCATATTTTGTAAACCTTTTGCAGTTAATACATTCTTCACTTAGGTAAAATATAATGTGCATTCAAGATTATACCCTCAGCTTTGATGGAGGTCAATACATGAATTTTCTTTTGTTACAACAATAGTTGAAGATATGATTTACTGTATCTATCATCTAGTGACCTTTATGTGAGGACCCACAAATTATATTTTTATTTAAATTAGGCTTTTGGAAAATGTGTATTTCTAGAAATCTGTGTAACAGTAATAATCTTTATTTTATTAAGTGCTAGGACTTGAACTTGGTGTTTGCTATTTTATGTGATTCTTGCTTCAGTCCTATTGAATAACTATTATGAAATCTATGTTACAGAAGAGTAGCATTTATATACAGAGTTACCAGTGTGGTTCTTTTTTTAGTACTCTAGCTGAAATAGTTATCTTATTACTAGGTATTAAGAACATGATTAATCCTTTTTGTTGATATGTTCCATTTAAATTTAAGTTATTCTAGTTTCTATGTGTTGAGATTTACAAGTCATCTTAAATCATTTTTGAAGTAGTCAGAAATAAATCCTTAAAAGTTCTTCTGTTCTAGATCTTTATGTTATGCAGAAGAAGATTCTTACTAAGTTTATACTGCCTTTTTTTATAATTTTAAAGGTTAGCCTTGGAGTGTTCTGTACTGTGGTTAGCAGGAAATACATGTAGAAAAGCTTTTTTATATCCAGATGATAGCTTCTAATTTTTAATTTTATTTATTGTTTAATCCTCACCTGGGAACATGTTTATTGATTTTTTTTTAGAGAGAAAGGAGGGAAGGAAGAAAAAAAGGGAGGGAGGGAGTATAGGGGGAGAGAGAGAGGAAGAGAAACATTGATCAGTTGCCTCTCATATGTGTCTCGACCAGGGATTGAACTTGCAACCTTTTGATGTATGGGACAGTGCTCAATCAACTGAGCCACTTGGACAGGGCAATAGTTTTTTATATTTAGCTATGGGATAGAGAGTTTTCTAGAGCCAAAATAGGGAAAGTGCAGTCTTTAAAATTAGTAATCATTTAATTAATGGGTAAAACAAAATGATCATTTTAGTTAATATGGTGTGGTTTCTGGACAGAATTGAGGTTTAAAAAGACAATAATCTCTAAAACGTTCTTTCATTCTCTTTTCTTTATGAGCACTGTTGCACCAAATTTCAGAATTTCTCACATTTACTTATTCTTTTGCCTTTTGAGCAAAAATCTCAGCATTTGCAAATAAGTAAGAAAGTATTTTGGTTTTTTTTTACATCACAATTTTTGTGTTTATTTCCCACCAGGTGCCAAAAACAGAAAGAAAGAAAAGAAGGAAAAAAGAAACTGATTTAGTAAGTTATAATCTTTTCTGTTACAAAAAAATTAATTTTTAGGCCAGTAGTCTGAAGAATATTATACAGTATTCATGTGGAGATATTTAAGGAATAAGTTAATCAGCTGCCTAGGGTACTTACTTACAGTTTTGAAAATTATTTGGAATGATAAATGTGACTTTGTCTCTTGTGATTTGCCTTGTAATGGCTGAGTTCTGGTCTACAAAACTGTGTGATAATTAGTAGATGTTTTAAGCTGCTAAATTTTTGGTTATTTGTTTCAGTAGTAATGGAAAATATCTAATAGCTTTGCACAGAAATCTGTTTTACAGCCGTCTTGATAGTCATTGCTGGGCCATTGGGTTGTTTCTACTCTTCTCCATTATTGACAATAATGGCACAGTCAATAAGAGTGTGTGTACATGTAAGTGAGTGGAGGGGGTTTACTAGAATTGGAATTATTGGGTCATAAGTAAAATGCATCTGTCATTTTGATAAATAATGCTTCATTTCCTCATATGGGTAATCTCATTCTTGCATTTTAACAGTAATGTATCAATGTGGGTGGTTAGACTTTTGCCAGTTTGATAAATAAGGAAAAATCTGAGTAGTTTCTTTCTGTAGTTTTAATTTTCTTTTATTATCAATGAATATCTCTTTTTATGCTCAAGTACTATTTACATTTTCCCCCATGGCCTATGTGTTTATGTTCATTGCCCATTTTTCTGTCTTTTATATCCCTTTCCATTAGTTGATCCGAATATTCATGAGTTAATTTCACACTTTTCAAATTATCAAACTGTTATTATATATAATAATTCGCAGGGCTAAATCCTCCTTATTTACTTTTCTTTTTTAGAACTTTTCTGGCTATTCTTGTTTTTGTTCATGAACTTTGAATTTATTTGTCTAATTTGATTAAGCAAAAATCTATTAATATCTTTTATTAACTTTGCTTATAAATTAGTATAGAATGGACATCTTTATAATATTGAATCTTTAATTTTGAATCTTTTCATGTTTTTAAGTCTATTTTTGTGTCTTTTAGGAAAGGTTTTAAAGTTTTTCACATATAGATTTTTGTTATTTCATGTGACATCTATTTTTGGGTATTTTATTTTAGCAGAGAGAATCACTATAGTTAATAGTATGGTATATATTCTTCTGTACTTTTTCTCAACTTATATAAACTCTTTAATCTGGTTGTTCTCAAAGTGTTATTTTCAGGGGTTTCTGGGACACTTCCAAGGATTTTGCAAGATCAAAACTATTTTAACAATAACAATTGTAGTAACATTATTTTTATTCTTCACTAAGCCGCCACAGAAACAGTGATGGGTAAAACTGCTAACAACTTAGCATAAACTAAGTCGGTTGCAATAGCTGCAAATGATGCTTATCTAAAAGAATCATTTGTACAATTGAATTGTAAATTGGTCTAGCCTTTAAAAAAATGTGACAAAATCCACATGACAAAATTTACTATTTTAAGCATTTAAAGTATATAGTTTATAGAGGTGTAGTATATAGTTATTTGCTGCATAAGGACATTTTATTCAATCACAAACCTCATAAACGATGGTGGTCCCCTAAGATTAAATGAAGCTGAAAGATTTCGATTGCCTAGTGAGGTCCGAGCTTTCATAATGTCAGAGCAAAACTCTACTCTTGTGTTTGTGGTGATTCTGGTCAACAAAGCTACTGTGCTGCCAGTTGTATGAAAGTATAGAACATGCAATTGTATACAGTACCTAGTATTGACAATAATAAGTGACTCTAAAATAACAATAAAGAGCCCTGGCTGGATTGAGCACGGGCCTGTGAAGCAAAGGGTCGCCAGTTCAATTCCCAGTCAGGACACATGCCTGTGTTGTAGGCCAGGACCCCAGTGGGGACACATGAGAGGCAACCATACATTGATGTTTCTCTCCCTCTCTTCCCCTCTCTAAAAATAAAGAAAATCTTAAATAAATAAATAAATAAATAAATAAATAAAATAACAATAAAGAATATAGTATAGTAAATATTCTTTATTTTGTTTTAGAGTAAATACTCTCTACTCATGCAGAAAAATGTTTGCTGTGAAACAGTATGCTGTGATTCTTACACTTGTGTTTCCCATGTGTCTTGATTGCATCATGTCCTTCATGCTTGACTGATCTCATGATGTTTTATAAATTCGGTGCAGCCTACGTGTACAGGGTTTATAAAGTCTATGGTAGTACACAGTAGAGTCCTAGGTTTTCACATCACTCACCACTCACTCACTGATTCACCTAGAAAACTTCTCGTCCAGCAAGCTCCATTCATGGTAAGTGCCTTATACAGGTGTACTATTTCTTCTTCTTTTTTAATTCTCACCGGAGGATGTGTTTATTGATTCTTTTTAGAGAGAGAGGAACTGGAGGGTGGGGAGAGAGACAGAGAGAGAAACATTGATTGGTTGCCTCCCATACGTACCCCAACTGGGGATCGAACTCACATAGGTGCCCTGACCGGGAATCAAACCTGCAACTTTTGGTGTATGGTACGACACTCCAACCAACTGAGCAACCCCGCCAAAATGTTATACCATTTCTTATCTTTTATACTATATTATTACAATGCCTTTTCCATATTTATGTATGTTCATGTATGTAAATATTTAACATTGTGTAACAATAGCATACAGTATTCAGTACAGTAACATGCTGAATAGGTTTGTAGCCTAGGAGCAGTAAGCTGTATCATATAGCCTATGCATGTAGTATTCTGTTCCATTTAGGTTTGCATAAGTGCATTCTATGATGTTCACTCAATGACAAAATCACCCAACAATGCGTTTCTCAGAATGCATCTCTATCTTAAGCAGCACATGATATGTTCACTATGTTGTGTAACTATCACCACTGGGAAGTCACTCCCCATTCTGTCTTCCCCCAACTCTGGCAAGCACTAATTTACTTTCTGTGGATTTGCCTATTGTGGACATTTCATATTGATTAAAAAAATCATACAGTATTGGCCTTTTGTGTCCACCTTTCACTTAGTGTAGTATTTTCAATATTCATGGATATTGTAGCATGTATGGTATTTGATTCCTTCTCATAGCCAAATTATATTCCATTGTATAGATTATACTACATTTTATTTATCCATTCATCAGTTTATGGACTTTTAGATTTTTCCACTTTGTACTTAGTATGAGTAATGCTACTAGAAACATCTGTGTACAACTTTTTATGTCAACATGTGTCTCCAGATACTATTTTTTTAGAGAAATCACTTTTACTTTATTAACAAACTGTGCCTAGGTAGACTTAATTTGGCAGACATTTTCTGAAAATGAACAAAGTGACCCTGTCACTTCAAAGAAAACACCTGACAGTATTATCAGTGGTAAAGTTTGAGCTTTCAAGCAAAAATTAGAATTGTGGAAAACTTTATTTGCCATTGTGAGTATGACAGTTTTCCAGTAAAGAATTTTCTAATGAAATTGTTGATAGTATGAAGAAATATGACTTTTGATAGTGTGTAATAAGATGTGTCAACATTCAGGAGGGCTGCACAACTCCGTGAATCAACATTCTCCACATCACTGGGGCATAGTACTAGAGAATCACGTGTAGGTAGAATGTCCATCTAAAGTGCAGGATAGAGCAAAATGTTTTTTAAAAGAGCTTTTTGAGGTAAATTTAATTACAATGTAATTTATTCCTTCAGAGTTCAGTGATTTTCAGTAAATTTATGTAGCTGTAACCATGACCTCAATCCGATTTTAGAACATTTACATTACCCCAAGAGGATTATTATGCCAATTTGCAGTCATTGTCCTTTACCATTCCCAGTTCCAGGAAATCACTAATATATTTTTAGTTTTTATGTAATATTTTCTGGACATTTCAAATAAATGGAATCATACAGTGTACGACTTAGCATAATGTTTTTTGGGTTCATTCAAGTTATGCATATCAATAGTTTGGTGGTTTTTAGTGCTGAAATACTATTCTATTGTATGGATATACAACACTGTATTTATCCTTTTATCATTTGTTGGTTATTTGGGTTGTTTCTGCTTTGGGAGTATTATGAATAATGCTGCTGTGACTATTTGTGTACAGGTTTTTGTGTGAACATACGTTTTCAGTTCTCTTGGGTATAAATGTAAGAGTAGAATTTCTAGGTCATATGAAAACTCTGTGTTGAATATTTTTAAAAATTGCCAAACCGTTTCCAAGTGACTGTACCATTTTCTAGTCCCAACCGAAATATCTGAGGGTTTCAGTTGCTCCACATCCTTACTAACAGTTGTTTCTGTCTTCTTAACTGGTAGCCATCCTAGTGAGGGCAAAGCAGTATCTCACTGTGGCTTTAATTTGCATTTCCCTGATGACTAATGATTTTAATCATCTTTTCATGTGCCTATTGGCCATTCGTATTTCTTTAATGGACTGTTTATTCAGTATTTTGCCCATTTTTAAATTGAATCATTTTCTTACCGAGTTGTAACAGTACTTCATATATTCTAGATAGAAGTCCTTTATCAGATATGCAATTTGCAAATACCGTATTTTCTACAAGTCTGTGGCTGATCTTTTTATTTTCTTAATGGTACTTTTAAGTAAAAGTTATAAATTTTAATGAAGCCCAGGAAAATGCATTTTAATATTACAAAGCATAAAGAGTTCATTGGTGTGGTTTTAGATTCTTATTTCAATTAACCCCTGAGTTGTCATTTGTAGAGATTTGATATAGTACCATCTGAAAAGGCAAATTATTCTTCCATCTTTTTCAGTTTCATATCTGTGTGAACCTGAATTTTCTTCATACCTTTCAAAATAAACTACACCTGTTAACAGGTTGAATAAAGAAGGGACTATGAGAATTCAGGTGTCTTTCATGAAGCCAGACATTAAAGACATCTACAAAAAGTTGAAACAATACCCCTTTGTCATTACTTTTTTTTGTTTTAAAGATACAGTTGTTTTTCGTTAAAAAATGTTACCACATAATATGTTTAGTGTTAATTTTAAATCAATTGGATAAATACTTAAAATTTTTTCAGTTTTAATTTTAATATAGCAAATGTCAGTAAGTACAACTTATATTAAAAGCTCTTTGAGGTCATTAATAATTTTCAAAAGTGTAAAAGGTTTTTGGAGTTGACAAAAAGATTTAGGAACTGTTTTTAATTTAACATGCACATTAGACTCACATAAGGCCACTCTTAATGTGTTTGTAGCATTGTTCTCTGGCTTTCATATAACTTGGTCTTGTTTCTCCCCTAAATTGTTAGCTTTTTGAAAGCAGGGAACACATATTTTATTTTTATTTTATTCCTTAGGAGATCATAATTTTCCTTCTGGAATAAGCACTCAAAAGGACTTAACAAGTGATCGAAGTATTTCCCATTGGCTGACCATGTTAGGGCACCATTTCCTGTTGGTGTTAACATAAATAGCCATATTTTTTTTCATTCAGGTGGAAGAGCACAATGGTCACATCTTTAAGGCCACTCAGTATAGCATTCCTACATACTGTGAATACTGTTCTTCTTTGATATGGATAATGGACCGAGCCTCTGTTTGCAAATGTAAGTATAAGAGATCTTTGAGGATTTTTTAAATTACTTGACATTTCTATTTCTCTAAGTTTTCTTATTTCTTCTTTAATATAAAGGATAAATACTTCCTAATTCTTTAACCTCACCTCTCACTACTTTCTTTCACCTACTCCTGGTAGTCAAACCAGATATTTTGATGTTTTTTAGTCACTGTGTTTGCATCTCACTCTATCCGAAATGCTTTTCTTCCACATGTTGGTAGGACTTACTATTTCAGTTTATTCATGTCTCTACTCAAATGTTACTTCTTAGAGAACTCTTTTCTTACTCTCCTACACAAAATGCCATCCTTTCCTCTAATTCTCTGTCATCCCTACTCAGCTTTAAAAGTCTTCATAGCACTTACTAACCACTCAAGTATTCATTTGTCTTCTTGTTAGTAAGTTTGTCCCAGTAGGATGTATGCTCTATAAGGTTGGGAAACTTACCTGTCTTTTCTGTATCACCAGTGCCTAGAACTGTTCTGGAAATGTAAGTTTTAATAACTATTTGTCGGGTAGATGGACCCGTAGATGAATGAATTAATTTTCTTAAATTGTATTTATTTATTTTTAAAGAGGGGAAGGAAGGGAGAAAGAGAGGGAAAGAAACATCAATGTGTAGTTGCCTCTTGTACACCTCCTACTGGGTACTTGGCCTACAACCCAGGCATGTGCCCTAGATGGGGAATAACCAGCAACCATCTGGTTTACAGGCTGGCACTCAAGCCACTGAGCCACACCAGCTAGGGCTTAATGGGTTAATTAACGAATGAATTCTTAGATTAAAACCAAAAAGGTACCTTTTTGACCCTGTTGTAATCCTTTCATCAGAATCATATAAATCCTAGAATGAGATTAGCGACTTCTTGCAAGTCAACTTGGTTCTGGTTTACAGAGGAACTTTTTCCATTCCTGTCATCCCATGGATCTCCTCTGGTGCTGTCAGTCATTCTGTCAGGGCCTATTTGCTGGTGGGCTAGAACTGAATGATGAAACATTAGGGAGAGCTGGACCTACTATGGCAAGAAGAAAAGTCCTGTTCACCATAGCCAAATCACCACTGTTGCTGGATAAGCTCACTTATTCAATTGTTTTTCTTTTGTTATCAGCAGTTTAAAATGTTATAATGACCGTTTAATGTTAGTTTGACTCCTGTTAGTTTGGTGTAATTTTCTTTGTGATTTGAAACTGAAAATGTAAAGAATCTGCTTTTTTATTACTTTGGTGGGTTGGTTTGATTTTTTTTTTTTGGTCCTACTATGATTTAATGTATAATCTGTTTTTCTCTTTTTTTAGGTTTGATTTCTTAGTAGAATTACTAACTTTCTTTGTGCCTGTACTGGTGATTTCATCAGTACAGTGATAGCCTCCTCTACTTGATCTTGGCCTTGAAAACCCCTTAGGTTTACTATAGAAGGGCAAGGATACTCACTTGTTGATATGCGGGCACCAGATCTTATATAGCAAAATGACATAGTCCAGTGTGTTCTCAATACCTCCTCTTAGAGTGCCTCTTCCCAACTGCCTGGGCACCCTGTTATCATCTGCTCTAAGACTTTATTTCTTCTGTGAACCTTTTATCTTATCTTCCCAAACACATACTATGTTTTGGTTCTTTAGAGCTCTGTTCTGGACCTTCTATAAAAATAAATAAGACCTTTCTTATAACTTAATGTACTGTTTAACTTTTTATTTCATTAAGGCTCTTTGGTAGTAATGCCTTTCTTGCCCATTGGAATGATTCCTAAAAGGTATTTCTGGCATTTTAGCAGATGGTAGAGCAAGTGTATGAGGGGAACATGAACACTAATTTGTGAATCAAACCACAAATATAAATAAATATTCTACTGGAATATGAAGGAGTAGGGAGAAAGGTTGAGCAGTCTTGAAAAAATAAAAAATATTTATAAACATTGGTTAGAAATTTTAGGCATGTTTTTCAACTTTATATTTCCAGGTAGAATAGGTCAAATAAGTAAATTAAATTGATAAAGAATGGGTTAAATTTTTTTCTTTCTGGTATTGTACAAAGTATATATATGTCATTATAGCAGTCTTAGATTTAAAGAAAATTATACACAAAATAAACAAACTTTTAAATTTCTTATCATTGATGTATAGACTTCTATAAATTCTACATTTTAATCTGTTTTTCAGTGTGCAAGTATGCTTGCCATAAGAAATGCTGTCTGAAAACCACAGCCAAGTGTTCTAAAAAGGTAAGAAATTAATTACCAATGAGTAATAATTAACATATATTGTTGGGTTTTTTTGTGCCTCATGGAAAGAAATCAAGGACTCTTTGATAGTTTTATAGAGCAGTGGTTTTCAAACATTTGACCACAAATCTCATTAAGAAATACATTTTATGTCATGAACTAGTATGTACATATAAAGAGATGTACATGTACATCTGTCTATGCAGCTGGATTGATTTTCCTAGAACTGTATTTACCTTTATTACATGGAAGCTACTAAACTGTTTCCCCAACAATTTATTAAAATACTACTTTGAAAGGTTTCCTACTTCATTAAATACTCATAAGTCTTCCTAGGAACTATCTTGAAAGTGAAATCTTTACAATTAAAGATTTTAACCTAAACATCAAGATTTACCACATAGTTGGTATTTTTACATACTTTCTACTTGTGAATCACAGAGAACTAAAAGACACTACATGTACTTTGGTATTTCATGCTTAAGGATGCAACCATTTTTGAAAGATTTCAGGCTTTTATTGATGTATAATCACATTTTCACACTTATTAGTCACATACAGATGACTGTAACAGTACTATGAAAATCTGAACTATAAATGTGTGTGCATGTTGTTTGTAATGTATGCATAGAATTTGCAGCTGTTCCAAATTCATAGACAAATCATGGCAAAGGACAAAGGAAAATTTCATTCGAGGATTAAAATACAATGTAGGTGGGACATTTGCTTCCAGCTGAGATGGAGTAGCTTGTGGCACACTAATGTCCATGCTGAGAACAACTGAAAACATCTGTTGTGAAACATCAGAAAACTGCTCAGGCAAACTGGACTTTAGGGGCCTAGATCCTGGAGAGAAGAGAGTTGTGGAGTGGTAAATCTGTACCTACGAGGTGTTTTTCTCTTCATAGGCATAGGGCCATATTTAAGAATCAGAGAAGTGAGCAAAGTTTTTAGAAATGTCATAGGGCTATAAAAACAAAATTTGGAGTCTTGGATTGTCAGAAGTTGAAGGACCATGATCCAGACAGAGAAGTGAGCCTGAAAATCAGTTTTCTCTCAAGGTATTTTCTAAATTAAGTTGCATAGGACAAAGGGCTAAGGAGCTAAATAGAAGAGCAGATTAGAGGGGGTTTTCCAGTCGAAGAAAAGAAAAATTGAGGTTTTATTATCCACCTTCAAAGTGGGAACCTAGTCAATACTCTAAAACTTTCACTAACATCTCTGAAGAGCTATACTCTAGGAAAGGGGGGTAGACCATTGATAGACTGAACTTTATAAAAGCTGAAAACAAGTTTTTTAAAAAAATTTCAACTAAGGACATTATTTTCATTGCTTTTAGAGAGAGGGGAAGGGAGAAAGAGAGAAATATTGATGTGAGAGAGAAACATCAATTGGTTGCTTTCTTGTGTACACCCTGACTTGCTATCAGACCCAGTGGGAATTGAACCACAACCTTGTGGTCTGCAAGATGATGAGCCATACCAATCAGGGCCATGCTATTCTTGATTGGATGAAGATGATCTGATCTGTTCCTTATTCTAACTACCTACCAGAGTGAATTTTCTCCAGAGATAATATCATCCAAGCCTTTGCAATTTGTTCATAAATAATATGAGACTAAGAACAAAACAAATAGGCAATATCAGTAGACTCATAGATGATCCAATTACTGAAGTGTCAGACATGTACCTAAATTTTTTTGATTAGTATGTTCAGATAATACATTAAAAGATTTAAAAAATTTATTGTCTATTAGAAAATGAAAAAATTCATGTAAATGTATATTTATTCAAATGGAAATTCTAAAAATAAAAAATGCAACCCAATTTATAAAACTCAAAAGATAGGTTTAAAAGCATGTTGGCTGATTTAAGGAAATCAACTCCAAGATGGTGGCATAGGCAGGCATGGCTCACCTATGCAAATAACCACATCAAAATTGTAACTAAATGTAGAGCAATCATAACTCAGAAGCATCAGAAGTCGAGTGGAAGTCTGATAAATATGAAATGAAAGAAACCATCCATCCAGACTGGTATAGGAGGGATGAAGATTTGGAATGGGCTGTTCCCATACCTACATGTGGTGGATAAAAATTTGGGAGGGGTATTTTGGGAATAAGGAGTCCCGGCCACATACCAGGTCCCCCAGCCTAGGATTCCAGTGCCAGGAAGATAAGTCCCCACAACTTCTGGCAGCACCAGTGGTATACACACAGCAACTGAAGTGTCTGTCATCAAAGGGAGCAGAGGCCATTGTCCTTTTTCTAAACCAACCCCCCCTCCCCCCAAACAGACCTGATAAGGTGGAGATCTGTTTGGCTCACCTTGGAGCTGCCCAGGGACTCTGCCCCACCCAACTTACCAGCCTACCCAAGCTGCTTTGCCTTATGAATGGCTGGTTTGGCTCATGCTCCACAGCTTCCTAAATTCTATCAAACAAGCAACAGCACTAGCAGCAGTCAGTGTAGATTCACAGTTTGGCTTTACCTGGGAATCCCTAAGCCCAGCACAAGTAACAGCCATCTCAGATTGTGTTATAACTCAGATTTTGTTATAGCCATGGGCAAAATAGAGGTGAGATCTGACATTGGCCTGTACAGCTGATCCTCCCCAGAGGCCAGGGGTTGGTGGTCAGTGGTCATTGCCAGTCCTGGCTTGCAGGACTGCTAACTGCTAACTGGCCTGCAGGTTAGTAAACCCCTTCCATTGATGTGCCAACAGCAACCAAGGCTCATCTTCAAGAGGAAAGTGTATTCAGACCACACTAAGGGCACAGCTCGAGTACCAGTTTGGGTAATAGGGGAGGCTGTGCCACTGGGCCCCACAGGACACCTACTACTTTAGGCTACACTACCAAGACATGAAGTCAGAGCAGCTCTAACTAATACATAGAAACAAACACAGGGAGGCTGCCAAAATGAGGAGACAAACATGGCCCAAATGAAAGGACAGATCCAAACTCCGGAAAAACATCTAAGCAAAATGGAGATAAGCAATCTATCTGATGCCAAATTCAAAACACTAGTTATAAGGATGCTCACGGAACTAAGTGAGGATCTCAGCAGCATAAAAAAAGATCCAGTCAAAAATGAGGATACACTGATTGATATAAAGAACAATTTACAGGGAAATAGTAGTAGAATGGATGAAGCCAAGAATCAAATTAATGATTTGGTACTTAAGGAAGCAAAAAACCACCAATTAGAACAACAAGAAGGAAAAAGAATCCCCCCAAATGAGGATAGTATAAGCAGCCTCTGGGACAACTTCAAGCATAACAACATTTGCATCATAGGGGTGCCAGAAGAAGAGGAGAAAGAACATGAAATTGGAAATCTATTTGAAAAAATAATGAAAGAAAACTTCCCAATTTTGCTGAAGGAATTAGACATGCAAGTTCAGGAAGCACAGAGTACCAAACAAGACAGATGCAAAGAGGCCCACTCTAAGATATATCATTAAAGTGTCAAAGGTTAAAGATAGAATGTTAAAAACAGCAAGCGAAAAGAAGTTAGTTATCTGCAGGGGAGTTCCCATAAGACTGTCAGCTGGTTTCTTGAAAAAAATTGCAGGCTAGAAGGGATTGGTAAGAAATATTCAAAGTCATGAAAAGCATGGACCTACTGCCAAGATTGCTCTGCCCAGCAAAAATATCATTTAGAATCAAAGGGCAGATAAAAACCTTCCCAGACAAGGGAAAAACTAAAGGAGTTTATCATCATGAAACCATTATTATATGAATTGTTAAAGGGACTTATTTAAGGAAAAGAAGATCAAAACTGTGAACGATAAAATGGCAAAAAATACGTATTTATCAACAATTGAATCTAAAAAAAACAAACTAAGCAAATAAGAAGAACAGAGACAGAATCATGGATATGGAGAACTTTTTGATGGTTGCCCTATGTTAGTGGGGTGGGGGATTAAGAAGTACAAATAGTGACCTCCTGGCACAGTGGCAGCACATCTCACTCCAAGAAGTACAAATAGATAGTTACAGAACAGCCCTGGGGAAATAAAGTACAGTATAGGAAATGGAGTAGCCAAAGAACTTACACACATGACCCATGGATCTGAACAGTGGTAGGGGGCTTGCCTGAGGAAGTGTGGTATGCGGGGTGGAGGGAAGCTAAGGGGGAAAATTTGGGAAAACTGTAATAGCATAATCAATAAAATATTATTTTAAAAAGTAGAAAAATAAAAGCATGTTAGCCATAGGAGAAGAAAAGGTAAAAAAACTGATAGGTAGGTCAGTAGAACTATCCAAGCATGGAGGGCAAGAAGGATGGGTAAATATGGAAATCAAAACCAAAGATGTGGGGAAGGGTGAAAGGTTCTTAAATGTCTGATTTCAGTCCAGGAAGAAAGGGATAATGTGCAACACATCAAATCAGAGGTCTGTGAACCATTTTCAACCTAAATTGGAATAAATATAAAGAAAACCATACCAGATGCCCAGTGCTGTAAGTGAAAGAAAGAGAAAATTTCTTAAAAGCAGTAAGAGGGGGAAAAAATAAACATTACCCAATTGAGCAATGAAAAGACTGACAACTGACTTCTCAACTAACATAATGGAAGCCAAAGACTTAGCATATTTTAAGTGTTACAAGAAAACAAAGGTAACCCAAAATTCTGTACCCAGTGACAGTGATCTTCAAAAGTGAAAATGATGTGAAGACATTTCTAGATGAACAAAAACTGAGAATTTGTCACCAGCAGACCTGCACTAAAAGATATACTAAAGGCGGTTCTCCAGGTAGAAGGGAAGTTATCTCAGCTGGAAACAGAAATACAGGAAGGAATGAAGAGCAATGGAAGTAGGAAATAATAAATGTAATATAAATGAATATTACTAAAAACACAATAATAATATCTTGTGGGGCTTAAAATATAAAGAGAATTAAAGTGCCTGAAAACAACAGAAATGTTGTTGGGTAAATGGACTTAAACTATTCTGGGCTCCCTGGGTTATCTGGAAAGTGGTAAAAGTCCTAAAAA